AATTTGCATACTTGCTTTGATTGACTGGTGGGCATGGCCAGTGGGCGTGGCTTGAGTGGAGCGATTGGTTGGTGGGCGTGGCTTGTGGGCATAGCCAAGGTATGGTCAATTTTCTTTTTTTAAAACTTTTATTTTTTTTAGTTTTACATATTTTCCCCCCCTCCCTCCCTCCCACATATCCCCTCCCTCCCCAGAGTTTTATGTCCATTCGTTGTACTTGTATACAAGTCCCAAACCAGTCCCGGCCCTTCTAGTAGAATTTCCACTCAGCCAGCTTTCCTGTGGTTCTAGATGATGTCTGTTTTGTTTTCCAGTTGTAGTTTTGTTTTTAATGTATTTTACTAATTTTTTAGAGAGGAAGGGGGAGGGATAGTTAGAAACATCAATGAGAAACATCACTCAGCTGCTTCCTGCACACCTCCTACTGGGGATGGATGTGCCTGCAATCAGAACCAAACCTGGGACCTTTTAGTCCACTGGCCAATGCTCTATTGAGCCAAACCAGTTAGGGCTAGTTGTAATTTTGAAATTGTGTGAGGCAGCAGTTTACGTGTTTGCTTATGCCACCATCTTGGTTTCTCCCAGAATTTTTTTTTGCTTGAGAATGATTACATTATCTGATGACATTAAGAAACTTTTTTTTAGCCGGGACCGGTTTGGCTCAATGGATAGAGTGTCGGCTTGGGGACTGAAAGGTACCGGGTTCGATTCTGGTCAAGGGCATGTACCTTGGTTGCGGGCACATCCCCAATAGGGGGTGTGCAAGAGGCTGCTGATCGATGACTCTCTCTCATCAATGTTTCTAACTCTCTCCCTTCCTCTCTGTACAAAATCAATAAAAAAAAAAAATGCCACTGGGATGAATAATTAAAAAAAAGAAAAAGAAACCTAATATTTTTTAGGTGTAATGATATTGCAGTTCTTGTGTTTTAGAAACATATACTAAAACATTTATAATTAAAATGAAAGTAAAGTTCCATAATGCAGGATTGCATAGAAATTCCAAAAGCAAGCAAGCATGCCCCGTAACAATGGGGATATGCATCATTAGGTGATTTCATCATCGTAGGAAGATCAGAGTGCACTCACACAAACCTAATGGTATAGCCTGCTACACATCTAAACAATATGGCATAGCCTACTGCTCCTAGGCTACAAGCCTGTACTGCAAGTTACTGCACAAAACAGCATGAGATTAAATCAAGCACAAGAGAACATGATGCAATAAAGTGATGCAGTGAACACAAGATGGATGAGGCTGCTGCCAGTCAGTGTAGCAGGGCACAGTTTTATAGCAGACTTTTTTTTTTTTTAAGCAGAAAGAGTATACTCTAAAATAATGATAAAGGTAGAGTATGATAAATGCATAAATAGGATAGTTGTTTATTAACATCAAATATTGTGTATTGTACATAACTGTACATGCTGCACACTTATATCATTAGCAGTAGAGTTTGTTATACCAGAATCACCACAAACATGTGAGTATTGCATTTTGCTATTAAAATGGCAATAGGAAAGGACATTCCTCTGGAGAAGCAAGAAAAGAGAATCCAGAAAGTTGAAGATAGTGTAAAGAGCCTCTGGGACAACTTCAAGTGTATCAACATCAGAATTATGGGGGTGCCAGAAGAAGATAAGAGTGCAAGATACTGAAAACATATTTGAAGAAATAATATCAGAAAACTACCCCCACCTGGTGAAAGAAATAGACTTACAAGTACAGGAAGCTTACAGAACCCCAAACAAGAGGAATCCAAAGAGGAACACACCAAGACACATCATAATTAAAATGCCAAGGGCAAAAGACAAAAAGAGGATCTTACAAGCAGCAAGAGAAAAACAGTTACCTACAAGGGAGTACCCATACGACTATCAGCTGATTTCTCAACAGAAACTATGCAGGCCAGAAGGGAGTGGCAAGAAATATTCAAAGTGATGAATATTGAGAACCTACAACCAAGATTACTGTATCCAGCAAAGTTATCATTCAGAATTGAAGGGCAGATAAAGAGCTTCACAGATAAGAAAAAGTTTAAGGAGTTCATCACCAACAAACCAGTATTATATGAAATGCTGAAAGGTATTATTTAAGAAGAGGAAGAAGATCATTTGAATTAATAATCTGAGGAACAGAATAAACTGGTGAATTGGGGCAAAGAAAAGGAGTGGACTGATAAATATCAGGGGGAAAGGGATGTGGGGGGTGCAAAAGAGACTGGATTACAATCGTATACCTATGGATGAGGACAATGGCAGGGGGTGGGGGGATGTAAGGGCAGAGGGTGAGGCGGGAATTGGGTGGAAAGGAGCTATGAGGGAAAAAAAGGAGAAACAATTGTAATAATTGAGCAATAAAGATTTATTTTAAAAAATTAAAATGCCAAAATAAATAAATAAAATGGTGATAGGAATTTTTGGCTCCATTTTCATCTATGGGACCACCCTGGTATATAATCAACCACAACATTATTATGTAGCACATGATTGCAAAGGAGAGAGCTAAATGCTGGCTGGGAAAGGGCATGAAAAAACAAAACAAAAACAAACACACACACACACACACACACACACACACACAAAAACCCCAACCTGTTTGGGGCTATTTACTGTGAGCCGGAGTAGGTAGGATTATGCCCACCCATGCTCACCAAGGTAGAATCTTAAACCCCGGGAAGACACTCTGCTTTGAGAAATTCCTTAAATGCTTAAAAGGGAAACAGATTCCTGACAGGACCAGCCTGAGCTTGGGATTTTTCAAAGAAAAAGCTCATAGATCATCTAATATTGAAAATATTCTGCAAGCACTTTTACAACACATTTTTTATTGAGCACCTATTTTCTATGCTACAAACTCCAGCAAGGCACTAAATGAAATACTAAAGTAAATAAGACAGTTCTTAGTTGGTAGTTTTGAGACAGATATCGGTGGTTGGGAGGTTTCACCCAAATACATCATTACTGGGTACTTAACCAAGTGCTAGTTGTGACCGGTCTGAGATTTGGTTCCTCAGAAGAGATATCTAAAGTTAATAAAAACTTAATATGCTAATAGGACCCAACATCCAAACGACCTTCTGGACAAAGCCGGGGCTGTGATCTTAAATAAGATCACAAAAATTCCTGTCCACAGATACATCCTTTCCTAAAAATAAAGACTTCCTCTCTCTTAAAAGTGATGAAAAGCTACTTATTGGGTACTCTTGCCTTGACTGTAACTATATCACTGTGATCTACCTTCCTCAAGAAAGTTTGGTATTGTGGAAAAACATTTTGAAAATAATTCTTTTAATGGTACGCTTTATCACAAACCATGTGCTTTGCAAGCTGTTGGATGCTAAGGGTCCTTTCCTCTGCAAAGTATAAAATCTAGTGTGGTAAGACATCAGATGGTACCCATGGAAGCATCTTATAAAAATAATCAACATAAAGTTAATCAGATAACCTATATCCTCATTTTCTGACAAAACATGAACAGATGAAAAACAACACAGCAGGAAACCAAGATCACCTTAAACACTGTATAGGATAGGGGATCAAAAAGCATAGGTGTGCAAATGGTTAATTTAAAAAAAAACGATACATTGAAAATAGATACTTTTTCAGAATGATTGAACTCACTAAACATCTGTAAACAAGAATAAATTTATTTAATTTCTTTTAAAGATTTAATGATATACAAAATGTATATAGTGTAATATCTTTAATACATTTTTCTCCCCCCATCAATATGAAACACTTATTTAAACAGTTTATCTCTCTTCTTGCCTTGTCTGTATCTATGAGATACACTACTGAATACAAGTAAGATTTACACTGCTCTCTCTCAATAAAAATTAAAATTAGTACCTAGGAAAACAAAACAAAATGAAAAAAATATCAAAGCATAAAACTTTAGTCAGATGAAAAGCTTTTCTCGTTGTTGAGTATTCAACAATATCTGGGGCAGTTAAATTACATTTATTAGCACAAAGTTGCATTGCAATCTCCCGACATGATAATCTAACTCAATTTCTTAAATAAGTACCACAAAAAAATTCATGTTTGGATATTTCTACACAATTTTAAATATATGCAAGAGTTCATGTTTACATTCTGATTTGATATACTGGTCAACATAATCTTTGGAGAAATATGTAACTTCCAGGTTGCCACTAGAACTATAAATAGGAAAAAAGTACTTTAACTTTTCTCACAAGGTAACTTCCCTTGAGCAATGAGTTAAGTTTCTCCTTTGATATATTTAGGTTAAAGAAGTCTACGTGGCTTCCTTCTACTTACAATAACTTAATGAAAAAATGCTTAAAAACCCCCACTTATATTTCTGCACAATTCAGCTCTATTTGACAAAAAATTGGCTCTATCTTTAATTATGGAACCTAACCCTGATTCATAAAGTCTCTCTTAGAAAATGCTTGAGCTTATTTTTATTTTTTTAACTGAGGATTCATATACATCCCTGTGGATCTAGAATTATAACAAATCATCACCTTTCCTGTGGCCAAAAAGCATCTAGCTGCAAACTAGTGAACCATGACTGAACACCCTAAAACACACTGAGGAAGATGTCCGAGCGCCATTTAATCCAAAGGCTGGGTGATTGCTTCATTTCGCTAGCTGAATGGCAGTCAAGCAGCAGCAAGTAACATCTGCACTGACACCTAACTTTGGTTAATGGTATTGCACCAGATGAGAGCGATCACCCTCATCAGAACAAAGTCAAATAAAGTCCTCTGCTTTTAAGAAGTTACAAATTCTAATTTTCTTTTACCTTTAAATTTTAACAGCTGCTAGCTAGCTGAACCCTATAGGGAGTTTCTGATTGACTAGTTTAATTGATGAAAAAAACAAAAACAAAAAAGATTTGACCTTTTAACTGTTTCAGAACTAGTATAATATTCAATTTGCACACACTTTTCTGTATTACCAAACAATTTCCTCCTGAATGAAAAGTGACACAGTAACATTGTTATGAGGTGTAGGCAAAACCAATGATTCAGTTATAACATCAGACGAACAGAATGAGTTGATTCTGATTCTTTGGTGGAATCTCCAGGCTGAAGAGTTAAATCTGAAGGCTCATCCTGAGGAAATATAACTTTATCAGGTGTATAGTCATTCCTCTTCAGGTCTATATTCACCACCCCAACAAAAAAAAGGAGAAAAAAGTCAGTATTTCTTAGAAATGGAAAATTATGAACATTTTTATATCAATTTTCATCTAAATATGCCAGATTTATTTTTTACCAGATTGTTATAAACTCAAAAGCCACAAGATATATAAACATAAAAATGAAATCATTCATTCATCAAATAATTACTATGCTCTGACCACGAGTCAGTAACTCATCTGGAGTGTGGAAATATAGCAATGAACAAGGCAGACCAGGTCCCTGTTCTCATGGAGTTTATTTTCTAGTAGATAAAGAAAAACAAATAGAAAAATGACAGAATTATAAGTAGTAACAAGTGTTTAAAGAAAACAATGTGATGAAGGCCACATTAGAGATGATATAAGGTGATTCCTCTAGGGCAGGTCAGAAAAGCCACAGGAGGCAACATCTGAGTAAAGGTCTGAATACTGAGAAATGACTATCAAAGCTTCAGGAGGAGTGTCCTAGGCAGAGGGAGGCTAACTGCAGACGGTAAGAAGGAAAGGAACTTGAAGTGTTCAAAGAATGGCAAGCCATACATTTATTTAAAAAAAAAAATTAGTTAAAAACCATTTAACAAAGAAAACTTCAGATTTAGATGATTTCACTAGACATTTCTACCAAACATTTAAAGTAATTCCATGTATTATTTACCAATTAAAGAAGAAAAACCAAATGGTCACATAAATAGATGCAGAAAAAACATCTAACAAAATTCAATATCCATTCAGGATAAGCATTTTCAAGAAACAAGTAGTAGTAGAATATGTCCTCAACCCAATAAAGCGCATCTACAAAATCCTTACAGTTATTATCTTAATAGTGAAAGATTAAGATTAGAAAGCAAAGCAAGGTGTTTACTCACATTATTCCTATTTAAGTAAAGTAAAAGGCAGAGTAGTTGGAAAGGCGGTAATAAAGCTGTATCTACTGCCCAGCTGGTATGACGTCGTGGCTCAGCATCGACCCATGAACCAGAGTTCATTGGTTCGATTCCAGGCCGAGGCATATGCCCTAGTTGGAGGCTCAATCCTTGGTAGGGGGCATGCCAAGAGGCAGCCAATCCGTCCATGTTTCTCTCTCTCCATCCATCTCCCTTCCCCTCTCTCTTAAAAAAAAAAAAAAAAAATTTAACCTCCTCCCCCCAAAAACCTATTATTTACTGTTTACATAGAAAATTCTAACAAGTTTATAAACAAAAACCTCCTAAAAATTTAGAATTAAGTTAGTTTAGCAAGGTTACAGGATTGCAGGATATAAGGTATACAAAAAAAAAAAAAAAAAAAAAAAAAAAAGCCTCTATAATATAGGTATTTTCTGCCCTTGCTGGTTTTGCTCAGTGGATAGAGCATCGACCTGTGGACTAAAAAGTCCCAGGTTTGATTACGGTTAAGGGCATATGCCTGGGTTGTGTGCTCGATACCCAATAGGGGGTGTGCAGGAGGCAGCCGATCAATGATTCCTCTCATCATTAATGTTTGTCTCTCTCTCCCTTCCTCTCTGAAATCAACAAAAAAAGGTATCATAATATAGGTATTTTTAAAAAAAATATATTTTATTGATTTTTACAGAGAGGAAGGGTGAGAGACAGAGAGCTAGAAACACTGATAAGAGAGAAACATCGACCAGCTGCTTCCTGCACACCCCCCACCAGGGATGTGCCCGCAACCAATGTACATGCCCTTGACAGGAATCGAACCTGGGACCTTTCAGTCTGCAGACTGAAGCTCTATCCATTAAGCCAAACCAGTTTTGGCAAATATAGATATTTTCTTGAACTATACAGTCTGACCCCTAAGTCCAACCTTTCCACGACTACATTATTGCTTATAATGAGAGGAACTTTTAAAAATGTAGCATAAGGGTGAATCTTAGGAATTTGTGATTTTTTAAAGAAGTTCCACAAGAAATCCTGATGCACACCAAAATGTTAGAAACACTGGTTTATACTATAACTCATAATTCAATAATAGTTTGTAATTCTGGAGAAACCAAGATGGCGGCACAGGGTAGACACCTGAATGCAGCCTACCACAACAAATTTGAATTTAGAACTGGAAAACAGGGGAAACATCGCCCTGAAGCGCCAGACGAGTGGCTGAGAGAAGGCACGCTGATCCTCAAGAACTGTGAAGGTGTGGAGAACTGTGCGCGCGAAAAGGTGACTGCCCGACTGCGCCGCTGGCTTGCTCCCTGGGCGCGGAGAGGGCAGACAGCTAATGTGCGGCTGGCTTTCTTGTTCGGGAGGAAAACAGAACTACCCTATTGCTCTGATAGACGGCCCCAGGCAGGGAGAGACTAGACTGTCAGACAGTGGGCAGAGATCTTTGGAGGTGTGTGAAGCCAGCGGCCATTACTGTGGGACTCAGAAACCAAAGCTTGTCTGTGCCTATACCAAAGAGGTGCGTGCGCCTGAAACCGATCTTACAGATTCAACAAAGCTTGTCTGTGCCACCCCAAGACTCCGCCCTATTCAACCAGAATACAGAAACCCTTCTAGCTGAGACACTCCCAGTGATACCAACAACAAACAAGGCTTAACAACAAGACTGCACACACACAGCCCACAAAGGGCTACACCAAGACTACCCACCTCAGGTAACTGTCCACCTCAGGTAACTGGAAGGCTGACCAACTCAACCATATAGGACACCTTAGCACACAAAGCCACCCTACCAACTCAGGGAAGCTGTGAAAATGCCGAGACAAGGAAACAGATCACAAACAAAAGAAATGGAGGACAAGAAGCGACTGGATCTAGAGTTCAAAACCATGCTTATAAGGTTTTTCAAGAATTTCCTAGAAAAGGCCGATAAAATAAACGAGACCTATGAGGATATGAAAAGGGATCAACTAGAAATAAAAAATACATTGTCTGAAATAAAAAATATTATACAGAGTCTTAAAAACAGAATGGAAGATCGCAAGAATCAAGTCAAAGATTTGGAACATAAAGAGCCAGAGGACACTCCTCCAGAGAAGCAAGAAGACAAGAGAATCCAGAAAATTGAAGATAGTGTAAGAAACCTCTGGTACAATTTCAAATGAACCAATATCAGAATTATGGGGGTCCCAGAAGAAGAGAAAGAGCAAGATACCAAAAGAATACTGGAAGAAATAGTGACAGAAAACTGCTCCCACCAGGGGAAAGAAATAGACTTACAAGTCCAGGAAGCGCACAGAACCCCAAACAAAAGGAATCCAAAGAGGACCACACCAAGACACATCATAATTAAAATTCCAAGAGCAGCCAAAACCGATTTGGCTCAGAGGTAGAGCATTAGTCTGTAAACTGAAAGGTCCCAGGTTCGATTCTGGTCAAGGGCATGTACGTTGGTTGTGGGCACATCCCCGGTAGGGGGTGTGCAAGAGGCAGCTGGTCAATGTTTCTTTCTCATCGACGTTTCTAGCTCTCGCTCTCTCTCTCTCCTTTCCTCTCTGTAAAAAATCAATAAAATATATTAAAATTCCAAGAGCAAAAGACAAAGAGAGAATATTAAAAGCAGCAGGAGAAAAGCAGGTAGTTACCTATAATGCACCCATATGTTTGTCAGCTGATTTCTCAACAGAAACCATGCAGGCCAGACGGGAATGGCAAGAAATATTCAAGGTGATGAATAGCAAGAACCTACTGCCAAAAATACTCTACCCAGCAAAGCTATCACTCAGAATCGAATGCCAGATAAAGAGCTTCACAAATAAAAAAAAGCTAAAGGAGTTCATCACCACCAAACCAGAATTATATGAATTGCTGAAGGAGGTTCTTTAGGAAGAGGAAGAAGATAAAGATAAAAATTATGATCAACAAATATGTAACTATCAACAAGTGAAACTAAAAGCCAAGGGAATTAAAAATCTGATGAACAATATTAACTGGTGAATATAATAGAATCAGAGGTATGGAAGGGGAGTGGACTGACGATTCTCGAGGAAAAGTGGAGTGGGGGGTGCGGGAAGAGCCTGAACAAAAACCTATGGATGAGGACAATGGGGGGTGGGGAAAGAGCAGAGGGTGGAGTGGGAACCTGGTGGAGGGGAGCAATGGAGGGAGGAGGGAAAGAGGAACATTTGTAATAATCTGAACAATAAAGATTTATTTTTTTAAAAAAGAGTTTGTAATTCTGGAAATACAAAAATAGTTACTATCCCAACAGAGTATATGTGTAGTTCCTATTCCTGCTTCATGGAATACTCTTTTCCCAACTCTTTAACAGGCTAACTTGAAAGTCTATTCCTCCTTCAGTTTTAGACAAAACTGTCGGTTCCCTTGGTAGCATTCCCTGATCTCTAGGTTTGTATTAGGTGATCTGCTTACCTATTCTCTTTTTTCTGTTTGGCATTTATGACAGTCCTGTAACTCTGTTAACTTTGTCAGTTTTCAAGATCTGACTAAACTCCAATGAGGGCAGGGACCATGCTTGACTAGTTCCCTATTGTAGTATTATCAACATCTAGCACAATTCCTGGCTGTAGCACACACATAATAAATATATATTAAATGAGTATACTTTGTGTTTTTATAAAGAAAAAAAGCATAGATTAATTTATGGCCAACAACATATATTTGTGCCTCTACCTTATAAAGTATTGCATAACAAGTTTTACTTAAAATGTACTATACATTATACTGATTAAGAGAATGTTTACCTGGAAGTTTAAGTTTTCTACAGCAAGAATTACAGTGATGTTTGGCTCTAAAGTTTTTTATTGCATCTTCTCCTAGATTTGCTGGGCCAAAAACCATATCACAGGATCTATGGCATTGGTAGTTTAAATAAAAAAAGATTAGTTTATTCAAGTAGAAATATAGAACTTGAAATTATGAAATTGTCTTAATAAACTTATTAAAATTCATTACCTCTTTTCTTCTGCTTTTATCACAGATGGGTCAGTCAAATTTTCACCCACACCTTTATACGTATATGTAAAAAGTTAATTTATGTTAGGATTGATGAAATATTGACATTTGCATAATAAAAAGAATGAGATTTTATAGCAGCATTTACATAATTTTAAAATTATTCAAAAGAGTGTAGTTCTCCTCTCTTGATATTTCATGGCTTGTCTTGACTTCAACATTGTACCCAGAACATAGCTCCTGCAATTGTGACTCAGAGTTAAGTGTCAGAGTTGGTAGGTTTGATCCTGATGGCATCAGCTTCTGATGCAACATGGCCAAGGTTGCAAACAAATATCTGCTTATACGAAAGATCTACACAATCTGCCATTGTTGCATTTCATTTAGCAAAGAAAAACTAGGGTCACAGAGGCATAATCTATAGGTATGCCCCACTCTGTATGAATAAATCTTCCTAAAGAAGATTCAGATAACATAAAGAATAGGAGTGTGACCCAGCTGGGGTTGCTCAGTGGTTGGGCAAGTCAACAGAGTTTGATTCCCAGTCAGGGCACATGCCTGGGTTGTGGGTGGGATCCCAGTAGGAGGCATGCAGGAGGCAGCTGACCAATGATTCTCTCTCATCTCTCTTTCCCTTCCTCTCTAAAATCAATATATTAAAAAAAAAAAAAAAAAAAAAAAAAAAAAGCTATAATGTAAAACTATCATCCAGGCAGAGCTAGAAACTTGATCAGTTTTATTTACTTCTGGCCCTACCATGAAGTTGCACTGACATTACAATGAGCAAACCTGCTCTCTCCAAGCCACATTTTTTTTTTTAAAGAAATATTTTATTGATTTTTTTTTTTACAGAGGAAGGGAGAGGCATAGAAAGTCACCAACATCGATGAGAGAGAAACATCGATCAGCTGCCTCCTGCACTCCCCGCACTGAGGATGTGCCCATCCCAAGGTACATGCCCTTGACCAGAAACGAACCTGGGACCCCTCAGTCCACAGGCTGACGCTCTATCAAGTGAGTGAAACCGGTTTCGACTGTTTGTTTTTTTTAACATGCTGCTCCACTGATCAAGTGCTGGTTTAAGTCTGGGCTGTCCTCATTACTTGCCCTGAGCAGTAAAATGTGGTTAGAGGGATCTGGGCCAATTCTGGCCTGGCTCTGCTTTCTCTCTGAAAGAAACTAGCTACCATGAAAGAAGTCTAGCTACCTGAAACTCTGATGCTATGAGAAAGTAAAAGGAGCTAGTCACTTGGTGGAGAATTGACAAATTCAGCTGTCACTAAACAGAGACCTCGGGCATTTGACTTCAATCAAGCTAGGCAAGCTAGTATCCAGTCATTCTGAGGGAACAACAGAGATAAACAATCCCCACTATGCCCCATCCAAATTCCCCAACTAAAGAATACAAGCAAGTAAAATGATTGTCTTAAGCCACTAAATATTTTGTTTTAAGCCACTAAATATTTAGGTAGTTTAGTTCACAATGAGAGATAAAACCTAACACCAGGAACAATAGATATACTTGTGTTTTAAAGAAATAGTCTTTATTCTTTTAAAAGAGTAAGGCTACACATAAAACAGCAGAATAGGGTATTTTTGATTATCAAAATATCTCCATTACCTAAATAATAATTAAGATAGATATATACCACGATTCAGGGCTCTGATGGCTATATGCTATGGCTGTTATTGACTTGCTTTTAAAACAGGTTCTACTGATCTAAGATTTTATCTACCTATAAATTAGCAGATTTCTGTACATTATTCATAACATATGAATAGTTGAGAACGTACTGCATAATTTCATCGATATTTCAATCGATTTACCTTGTAAATCAAGTACCAGCAACTCCCCTCTTGTATATTCATAAGTCCAGTGGCTAAAGGCTAACATGATCTCTTCCAGTGTATTAGTTGGAATAATCTCATCACCATTATTATTATTGTATTTTCTAAATTCTCCAGTCATACATTCTTCCACAGCAAACCACTGTCCTGCTGAATGGCAATACAGCAGGAAAACTTCAAGGAACCTTATGAAAAATAGTTACAGATATTACTCGTTTTGTTTAAAAAGTTCTAGTTGATCTTTAAAATAAAGCAAATAATTATATATTCAACATCAATAATAAGATCAAAAGAGAATGCTATCCACATAACATTTATATGTCCCAGAAAAATTTAGACACTTGCCTCGGAGAATATGGTATGGATTTGGGTTTCATTTGGTTGAAGGCAAATGTGAGCTTCTGTGCTGCTCTCTGTTGCTGAATTTCCTACAGAACAGAAAAAGCAAACCCTTGTTCAATATCACCACTAAGATTTTATTTGGTTTATTATACTTTAGAAGTGAAAACATGATGATCTGCCGTTATGCATTCACCAAGACTTACTCTAAGACAGAGATGTAGAACCGTATCTTCTTTGTAAATACTTGACCATGTGTTGATCACCTCAGGAAGAAAAGATTTGATAATATAAAGATGCCCTGATTTGAGGATGTCATGTTCTGACCAAGTACACTGTACTTTGACAGCTCTCCGTAAACCTCCTCCCATCTCTTCTTTACTTAAAAACTCTATTTTGGCACAGAGGCCTAACTGTGACCAAGAAGACATGCTGTTATTCAATATGCTGGGCGAACTCTCTTCCAAGCGATACACGGTGACGGGCTCACCTGCAACATGAATGAATACATTTTGAGGTCAAATTATGACACTTTAAGAATGACAACGTAGGATAAAAATTGAAAGATATCTGGTTAAGATGAAGGAATAAAAGAAATGAGCTAAGTTGTAGTTTTATAAAGGGAAACTAACTTTTAGAAAGCGACCAGACTAGTATACACTTTTAAGTTAACCTGTTAGACAAGAGGTTAGAAGTCTCTGTTCCACAAATCCCATGATGTCAATTTATCTATTGCTTTCATTACTAGACAATGAATTATCTGAATTAGAGTACACCACTGCTTCTGGATATACAAAAAACAGAAATTTAATACTTTTGATACATACCTGACTCTTTTAGTAGTCAGGCTAATTAAATTTGTATAAAATCAACACTTTTTAGTGTGATTAGTCTATTAACACCCATGTCCTATGTTATAACTATAAATCATATATTAATGGAGGATTGATTTTTTCCCTTTATTTCTTTAACTTTTGGATTTACCTCTTGGAGGCACAGGTGTAAATGGAATGCTCTGGGATAATCTCATCAGGTTATTTCTTTCCACAGCTGCATAAAAATGAGAGAGAAAAAATGAAATCCCTAAAAACTAAAAATATTATTAAATTTTGTTTTTAATGTTACTGACCTGAGTAATAGTAATGTGTATCCATAACCGCCTTAAATGGAGAAGCAAGACCTAAAATATCAAACAAATGAGAGCCTTTTAAAGGTACTAATGCAGCATAAATTTTTGCTCCGACAGATATTCTCATGCAATCATGTAATCTCTCTCTTCACAAAAACATAAAAAATGAAACATGTACATCATGTGCCATATTACCCCATTTCACTATGTCAGTTTAGTAGTAAGTGTGACCTCAGACACCTGGAGAAAAAGCAGATACTTCACACTCTCCTGTCTTAAATGCATGTTTCTATCCCATGCTCAAAAAGAGAAATATCTTTCAGTTTTGGACCTTTGGGGGCTGGGGCCTGTGGCCATGTAATTATTTTACTGTGATGACCACGAAAAGATAAATTTCTGTAATGTGAAATATGAAAAAAAGCCCCTCCATCTCCAATTGAGGGCATTACTTTTTAACTGTAGTGAGAAAGATGGAAAATAAGAGGAATATGCTATGTGTTAAGCTTCTAAAATATAAATGAAAAATAACCTATTGTTTTGTAGAAGGTGGTTAGTCAAAAGTTTTAATGTTGAGAGATAAGCATATAGTATCTATATATGTAAAAGCCCAGCAACCAGAACTGCAAAACGACCAGAATGACTGATGGCTATGACATGCACTCTGGTAGCAACTGGCCTAATCCAGGCCCCAATGGGCCCCCAACACTCCGGACCCCACTCATGCACAAATTCATGCACTGGGCCTCTAGTATATACTGAAGTACATACACACAAAATAGGACTATAGAGCAGGGAGTACCAAACGCCTCCTAGTTTAAGAGAGTTTGAAGCCTGACATAAAAATCATCTGTAGGGTTATACCTACCCAGAGCTCACTCCAAACTATTCTAATTCTGTAGGTGTATATCATCATACAAATGATTCTCTACAAGTATTCGAATATGTAACCAAGATTGCAAATTAATGAGCAAGACGATAGGCTTAGCTATAGGAAGTAAAGCTACAATAGCAAGGAATACCAAATTGTTAAGAACCAAATATACTGTACTAAGAAAGAATATACTGTCATTGCACAAAGCAAATATACTGTCATTGCTTTGTGCAATGACAGTGAGGAAAATGTAAAGCAGAGGAGTGACAAGATCAGATCTTTCAGAAGAATCATTTTGGTGACAGAATAGTAGACCAGAAGGGAGGACAAACTGGCACAACCACATTGGAAACCTATTTGGCAGTAACCACTAAATGTGAACATACGCATACACTACTACCTAGCAATTCCATTCCTAGGTATATTTACCAAACAACATAAACAAGAATGCTCCTAACAACACTATTTATAATAGCCACACACTGGAAGCTACTGAAATGCCCTTCAAATAATAGTATGGATAAAAGTAAATTCAATATTTCCCCACAAGGAAATTGTGAACAGTAGTGAGAATGTTTAAATTCTCAACAGCAATACTGATGAATTTTATAAAACATATTAGGAGGAAGCTAGACACGAGTACATATTGTATGATTCAATTTATATACTACACACAACACACACACACATGTGTATGCACTCTCTCTCTCTCTTTAAATTCTTAACAGCAATACTGATGAATTTCATAAAACAAAGTTAAGAGGAAGCTAGACACAAGAGTACATATTGTATGATTCAATTTATATACTACACACACACACACACACACACACAACACACACACGTGTGTATGCACTCTCTCTCTCTCTCTTTAAATTCTTAACAGCAATACTGATGAATTTCATAAAACAAAGTTAAGAGGAAGCTAGACACAAGAGTACATATTGTATGATTCAATTTATATACTACACACACACAAACACACACACGTGTGCATGCATTCTCTCTTTCTCTCTCTCAGACTAATATAGACCAATCTATTGTGTTATTTGGGGACAGGGTTTCTAACAAGAGGACACAAGGAACTGGAATATTGGCAATATTCTGTTTCAAGATCTGGGGGCTGATTACATGGGTATGCTCACTTAGTGAGAATTCACTGACATGGAGGCTTATCTGCATTCTTCTGTATACATATTATCCTATTTAATAAAAGAGTAATATGCAAATTGATTGTCACTCCAACACACAAGATGGCTGCCCCCATGTGGACACAAGAAGTTCACCACAAGATGGCCTGCAGGGGAGGGCAGTTGTGGGCAATTAGGACAGCAGTGGAGGGCAGCCAGGGGTGACCAGGCCAGCCAAGGAGGGCAGCTGGGGGGCGACCAAGTTGGCAGGGAAGGGCAGTTAAGAGCGACTAGGCTGGCAAGAGAGGGCTGTTAGGGGTGACCCAGCCAGCAAGGCAAGGGCAGTTGGGGGAGACCAGGCCTGTAGGGAAGGGCAACTGGGGGCAACCAGGCCTGCACAGGATAGTTAGGGACAATCGGGCCGACAGGGGGAGGGCAGTTAGGGGCAACAAGGGTGGCAAGGGAGGGAAGTTAACGGTGACGGGGGCAGCAGGGGACGGCAGTTGGAGGTGACCAGGCCAGCAGGGAAGGGCAGTTAGAGGCAATGGGGCCAGCAAGCAAGCATTTAAGTATCAGTCAGGCTGGCAAGGGAGTGGTTTGAGGCTGGCAGGCAAAAGCCTTTAGGGGCAATCAGGCAGGCAGGCGAGTAGCTGGGAGCCAGCATTCTGGATTGTGAGGGAGATGTACGACTGCCCAGTGGAACGGGGCCTAAACGGGCAGTCGGACACCCCTTGAGGGGTCCCAGATTGGAGAGGGTGCAGACTGGGCTGAGGGACACTCCGCCCCCTGCCCCGCGTGCATGAATTTCATGCACTGGGCCTCTAGTACACTTCAATAAAAGGTTTACTGGTAAAAATGATGAAGTTATAAACTGAAAGGAGGATGTATAGTGGAAGGTAAATTCTAGACATATTTAGGAAGTAACTACAAAAGGACTTTATGAGTACAAGGTCAAGGGGGTTAAGAATAACTCCCACTCAGGTTTCAACTACCTAACTGAAAGAGCATCATTCACTAACACGGAATATAAGGAAAGAAACAGGCTGAGCTGCAAGGATGAAGGGGGTGGGTGGTAGTAAAGAGGTCATCATTCATTCACACAGTGACTTCATGTGTTTGTGAAACATCTATATTGAAGAAAAGCTAGTTGAGCGAAGAACTTTGTATTGCATTGGCTTTTTAAAACACAAAGTCTAAAATTTTAGGATAATGTAGTACTTGCTATAATAAATCATATATGATCCTCACTTTTTTCATAATAAATCTACCACATGGACTCACCATTTAATGTTCCTTCTTCAGATGGTCTAAAAAAAAATACCAAAAAATATATTGTAAGTTATTTTACAATTTTAGTTTTAGCTTCCCATAATTTTTTACTTCATGAAATTATGATTTAATACGTTACTAAGGAATTCTGAGGTTCAGATTCACTTTTTAAAATTTTATTTTTATTGATTTTTAGAGAGAGGGAGAGGGATAGAGATAAAAACATTGATGAGAGAGAATCATCTATCGGGCTGCCTTCTGCATGCTCCCTACTTAGGTTCAAGCCTGAAACCTGAGCATGTGCTCCAAGTAAGAATCAAACCTATGGCCTCTTGGTTCTTGGGTTGATGCTCAACCACTGAGCCACACTGGCTGGGCCAGATTCACTTTTGTTTAAATATTTGCCCTTTCCCTTAAGCCAATGCTAAATACATACATGAATATGTAGAGATCCATATGCATATACTTTATCAACGACCTGCACCTCCAATTTATGCCTATATAAATATTAGTAGTAGTCTGGTGTCAAACTGATAGTTCAATACTAATAATATAATATTCCATGACATCTCAATTAATGGAGACTCAATATAACAATGCCTTAAAATGACTATAGGATTTTAAAAATAGTTCAATAGAATTGATGGGCAAAGAACTGAGAAGAAAGTAAATAGATGACATTTTGCAATATTGAACAAAACTTTTTCAATACTGAATTTATTATTCATGTCAATGCATAGAAATACTAAATGTGGAAGTTCTATTAATTCCATAATTTCAGTACAAATGACAGAAATAGGTATAAAGGAGAGTGAAATGGAAAAGGAAAAATGGATTAGAGGCTTAGCTCTCCCATTATACAGCTCTGTGCCTTGCTAAGGGCTGAAAGTAGAGGACCTTTGTAGTCTCTTTCTACTTGTTACATTCTATCTGATCCTGATGTTTCCTGTTGATTTGTAATAACATAAACATTTTTATAAGTATATTGACCCTAGCATCATTCTTTGCTGCTAAGCCACACTTTTCTCAGCACCCAAAGAATGCTGACCAGCTCCACTTTTCTGGGTACTCCTAAGGATCAACATCTTAAGACAATGATCCCTTATTAGCTAAATGAAATCAATTTTGTCCTAGTCAGTTTGGCTCAGTTGGTGGGAGCATCGTCCCATTTATTGAACGGTTGTGGATTTAATTTCCAGTCAGGGCACAAATGGGAGGCAACCAATGTTCTCTCTCACATGGATGTTTCTCTCTCTCTCCCCTTTTCTAAAATCAATAAGCATACCCTTAGTTGAGGATTAAAAATAACTTTAAGTATCTATTATGTATTTTACTTTCTATGGTTTTGCTATAAAAGATAATATTCTCTGAGGAGGTATGATATAAAAACTTTTCCAAATGCCATTCAGGGCCAGGGTACCCAAAGCATCTCAACAAACGCTTATCCATGGGGCACTTGATTTATTTTCTTCTGAATATATTCACAGCTATTTTCGATGCACAGAAGGAAAAGGGGGGAAAGACTGGAATAATCTTCATCAAATTGGCTTCCCTTCTCAAGTAGTCCAAATCAGAGTGTAACTCTATCATACTTCTAGTATCAGATGGATGTCAAAGGCTTTTTAAAAATGTTCTTTGGAATCCTAGCATACTAATTCCCAAGCTGGAAACACAGAAATTCTCTTTTTTCTTCTTTATCTTTAATCTATACTAAAAAATTATTACTTTCTGGGGATGATTACCATCTGATTGCCTTTTGTTTCCAGCCTTCTAGGGAGGCTCTCTGTGTATTACTGCTCTAATTACCAAAGTGCTTTCCAAAACCAGTGCAAGGTTTGTTGCTTAGAGTGATGGGCAAAATAATTATGAAAATGCAGAACTAAAGTGTCAAACGAGGTCTTTGAACAAATTTATTTAAGATAAGGTTGAAAACAAAACTAAATAATAAATTCATAATTATATCATTATAAAGATGATTTTAGTAGTTGTAATTGTAATCTGACTATAATAATAGTATAACTAGATAAAATTATAAATTTAAATTAATAATTAACTCAAAATGAACAAGTTTCCCCAACCTCTTCTATGTTAAGACAGGAGATGCTAAAATAATCATTACTGGTTGATAAAGGAGTGTTACAGGAATGATGCAAAAAGGAAAAAAAAAAGACTATACTGGACAGGCTAATGATAAGAAAAGGCTTACTTACATTTCTCTGTCTGATGGTCTATCTTGTAACCAATCCTTTAGTCAAAAACAAACACAAACAAAAAGTTAAAAAAAAATCTCCAGATTAATCAGAAATGTTTAGCTCTGTTTTGTTTCCTGTTTTAAGAATGAAGGGCTTGCCGGGACCGGTTTGGCTCAGTGGATAGAGCGTCGGCCTGCGGACTGAAAGGTCCTGGGTTTGATTCCGGTGAAGGGTATGTACCTTGGTTGTGGACACATCCCCAGTGGGGGCTGTGCAAGAGGCAGCTGGTCGATGTTTCTTTCTCATCGACGTTTCTAACTCTCTGTCCCTCTCAATTCCTCTCTGTATAAAATCAATAAAATATATTTAAAAAAATAAAATAAAATGAAGGGCTAAAAAATAATAATAAATAATGCCATTCCACACAATGGAATAAAGAATTTCATGAGTGTTATCTCCTATAACATAGAGTCTAGCTTTTGGTAGCTATTTTCTTTAAATATGCATCTGTTTCTATGACTTCAAAGATAAGATGTGCCCCTTGCCAAAAGAAAAACACATCAAAGTGTTAAGAGAAAAATTAGCTTGACTGGTGTGGCTCAGTGGTTGAGCATCAACCTATGAACTAGGAGGTCACGTTCAATTCCCAATCAGAGCACATGTTCAGGTTGCAGGGCTAGATCCCGCCTTTGGGACATGCAGGAGGCAGCCGATCAATATATTCTCATCACTGATGTTTCTATCTCCTCTCCCTCTCTCTGTTTTTTTTTTTTTTTTTAAGTATAAAAAAAGAGAAATTAAAATACTTCAAATTGTGAACAACGAAATTACTACTAACATTTAGGCACTTTTCATTGAAGTCTATCTGTGTGTATGTGTGCATATGGTTTTCATTCGGTAGTTTTATAATATTTATAGCTGTGGATTTATTTTTACTCCCCCAGTTTGAACTACACTTCCTGAATTCAAATATGCATATTTCAGCATTTTGCAAAATTCTAAGCAATTTATAATCTATTCAAAGTCTAGCCTTTCATGACCAATTTAGAGGTATTTTCCATTTCTTTGTTTAGTATATTTTCCATCTAAGTATAATTTTACATTACATTCTGGTCCAATTGGGCAATTCTCTGTTCTGCTGTGCCTATCTATTATTTTCACCTCCAATAAGTTATTTATTTCTAGTTGTTTTTTGTTTGTTTTTTCAAATTTGCCAGTCTTTTTGAGTAGTATTTTTTCTTTTTTTCATTATTTGTAATACTCTCTTTTATGGCTTTAATTACTTTAATCATACTTTACAATCTGTAACCAATAATTTTGCTATCTTCAGTTGTTAGAGTTCTAATACTATCTGTATAAAGTTGACTCCCAAGAACTTTGTTGTTCCACTTATTTATTGCATTCATTGGTTGCTTCTTGTATGTGCTCTGACCAGAGGTCTAACTTGCAACCTTGACATATCAAGGACAATGCTTTAATCAATTGCGTTACCGGCCAGAGCTGACTCCCATGAGTTTTGTAATTTGACACTGTGAAGTCATTTTCAATGGAACTGTACTTGGGGCAATACTGTGCAGCTTAAGTCCAAGATGGATCCTTCTAGAAAAAGTAATTGTGGCTGTGAAACTGTTCATGAACTCCCTTTCCCCATTCAAGTAACTTCTCAAAAAATATGAATTTTAATAATATAATCTATCTCGGTATAGCTGAAAGTTAATAATGTTCTTGACTATCCAGGATCATAATTGAGAGCACTGATTTCTGTACTTAACTATAAAGAAAGAATTTTTCTGCTTTCTACCAGAGTCTGCTTTTAAAAAGGGTTTATAAAAGCAAATATTACCTCAATTGGCTGGAAATTACTTCATATAATAAGTTTTAATTCAAACAGAGGTTCCTACCTTTCTTTTTCTGAATAATTTTTTTTTTTTTAAAGAATTCCTGGCTATTCACTACAGGAGAAACTCTTTTCTAAAACTACCATAGAGATGTCAGTTTTCTCAGGTAAAAATTCTTTTGAAAGCCAGATATAATCTTAAATATCACCATCTCTTAGCTCTTCTCTAACAAATGTGCATTTAAAGAGATTCATTGTTTAATTGAAATGTACAAACCGGTAGTAAAGCTGCTTTGGAGTCTACTTTGTTAGTTTCTTCTGTAGATGGCCTTCTACTGCTACTTTTCACTTAAAGAAAATTGGAAAACAAAAGTTATACAACTTAATATTTTTACAAAAAACAACTACCGTAACCGAACACAAAACGTTTCTAGGCATAGTATAACATTCATATGACAATTTATCCTTTCCTAAGCTCTGCTGAACATCAGAATTACATGAGGCCCATGGGTTTCTTGGCAGGACATCAAAATCACTCAATTTATTTTTGTGAAAAGGCAATAAGGAAACAAGAGTATGAAGAAAAAAAGTCTTGCTTTTTTACTTTCTTCCCACATTTCTTGTGTATCCTTTCAGGGATATTTTGGGTGTTTGTGTCTATGTATATGTACCCCCCACTTCCCTCCATTTTTTACATAAATGATATCATAATATACATTATACTAGAGGCCCAGTAAATGAAAATTCATGCACTAGAGAGGGGGGGATCCCTCAGCCTGGTCTGTCCCCTCTCACAGTCCAGGATCCCTCAGGGGCGGGAGGCAACCCGGCGATCAGGGGAAGGTGAGACATCATACCCCTGCTACCGTCATTTTAAGCAGCACAAGCCTTGGCCAGCCTGGTTACCTGAACCTCGGGCGGCTGGGCAGCTGCCATTTGAGGCTTGCCTGTGCCTCAGGCCAGCCCTGGGCGGCTGGAGGGCTAAGGAGGATTGGGGGGACTTTGATGGGGCTGAGGGGATTTAGTGTCACCATCTTGTGGCTGTGGGGGCTGCCATCTTTGAGGATGTGACAGTCAATTAGCATATTCTATCCTTATTGGCTGTGGGCACTGCCATATTTACGATTTTGTGAGGTCCATTTAGCATATTCCCTCTATTAGATAGGATATCTTAAGAAACTTTGGTTGTTGGATTTTAAAGCTTAACCATGGAGATCTGTGTTATATTAGTACACAAAGTTCTATTTTATTTTAATACTATATTGAACTTCATACTATGGATACATAATAATTTATTTAACCAAACACCTATAGGTGGACATTTGGTCTGATTTCATTATCTTGCCTAAAACAAACCATGTTGTAATTAGTAATTTTGTTGATGTATCATTTCATTGTAATGGCAAAAACAGAATACCTCATTTTTCCTCCTGATTTAAGATGCTACATTTGTCATACCTATTTTGTTGATTCTAAAGAAACTAGAAATAAGCCTATTTTTTTTAATTAGGCTGTTAAGTTATAAATTAACTTGGAGAGAATTTACTGATAATAATACAATAAATGAAAACCACTGAATAAATGGTGAATGAAAATCTTCTAACCAAAAATTGTATTCCAAAGGCAAAAAGACCAGACTGAAATATATTAGAAGACTACGGGCAAAACTTTTTCAAGATAATGAAATTAACAGAATACCTTGAAGAAATTTAGCCAGGTAGCAGAGAATCTTGTGTTCATTTAATCAAAATTATGATATAATTATACTGTTGGAAAAGGGCAAGGGTGCGTACACGGGGAACAGAGAGGTATGTGTAGGTGGGGGGAGGGGGAGTTTAAGCATTGCCCTTTTAGTGAAAGGTTAATCAATATTGCCTAAAACTGAAATATGAGAGTATAAAAATTATAGGCACATTAACTTTAGAAATGACATCCATGTTATCTGAAAACAATGAGTTTATTTCTTTCCTCCTAATCCATCTACCATTTCTTTTCCTTCACTGATTGCTCTGGCTAGAATGTTAACTAGATCAGCCAGAATTCTTGTCTTGTTCCCCACTTAGGACTTTTAATACTTCATTATGAAGTGTAATATTTGTGATAACTACTTTTTGGAGATATACTTTATTCAGATTAACAAAACTCATATTTTTCACTTTTCTAAGAGTTTTAATCATGAATGAATGTTGATTTTCATCAAATGCCTTTTTTGTATCTATTGAGATAATTACACGATTTTCCTCCTTTAATTTGTTATTATTATGCATTAATTATATTTTTGAATGTTAAACCAACTTGTATTTTGAATGTATAAACCCAATTTCATAGTGCTGTTTACCAAAAGAGAATAAAAGGGGAAATGATGGTGAGAGGGACAATTTAGTGCTATTTTTCTTAAGGAACCTAATAAAGGTTTTATGTACATAGCTGAGAAGCTGAATAATAAACTTATGTGCATATATAACTGACTCAAAAAAAGATGATATGCAAACAACAGTAGGCCATTTAATTTTAAGAGAAAAATTAAAGTGCAAAGCAACACTGTACGGTATGCTACCTTTTGTAGAAAAGATGAGAGAGGTAGAAAAGACTATATTGTCATGCATGATTGGATAAGCATGAAATTCTAGAATATAAAAAAAACAACAACACTGGTTATATATAGTGTTGGAATGAGAGAGATTGATTTTCAAAGTGTTTGTATTTTATCTTGAACCAACTAAATGTATTAACTGTTTTTGCTTTATTTATTATTATTCATTTTTAATTTATTCTTTAAAAATATTTTTATTTATTTTTTTAGACAGAAATGGAAGGAGAGGAGCAGAGAGAAAACATTTTAAAAAGTTAGGATTATTATTTTATTCAAGGTTACAGCACTGATGTGTCAGAATCTTCACTTTTTGATTCAAGAAATATTTATTACTCATACATGTGATATACATAAAATACAGTTAAAGCTTAAATGTGTATGGTTGATAACATAATTCAGAGTCAAAACACTCACCTTGTTCTGAATGAAGAGGAATAGAAGTTTGGTAACACTCAGTAAATCCAGCATGAGAACTTAGGTGTTTCAAAGTGTTTTCAGAAGGAATATCATTCTATATATTGTACATAGACACAATTTAAAAACAATTAAAATTAATTTAAAATCATTGTCCTAATAGATCTAAGAGGGAGAAGGGCAATTTCTTTGGGGGTGTTTTGGTAACATTCTTATTAGTTTCTATGAGTTATTTATATAACAAAGATCTATCTGACCATTACTTGTCAAATTTTTTTTTCTAAATTACTTTGACTTTCTATGCTTTACATTTTTAAGTATTCAAATCTCCTTACATCCTTCCCTTAATATTTTCTATTCTTTATATGCTTAGGAAACTGCTGGTTTTATATGATTTTTTTATAAAATTAAGTTTTTGTAATTTGAATTTTTACATTTAAATTTGGAATTCAACTGAGCTTATAAAGTGATATGAGAAGATAAACAGACTTCTACACATTTCTACCCAATTGTCCAATTTGTATTCACTGACAATAATAGTTTCTAAACCAACCCTCCTTATTAAATTCTTATTTGTAGAAGGATTATTTTGGAATCACAAAACTGTTTTGCTAAAATATTCATGTTTCAACTGTTCTACCTGTGTATTTTAGTATTCAACAGCTAACTCTTTCTTCTTTTACCAATTTATTTTTCCAGATAAAGTAATGAAATGCATTAAAGTAATATGGAGAAGATCTGATATCTTCACATTGTTTCCTCTTTTCATTTATAAGAGGTCACACTATAATGAAAATTTAAAAGTACTTTATATATATATATATATATATATATATATATATATATATATATATATATATATATGCATGCTATGCTGGACCTCTAGTTTTCTTAATTTCCTTCCTGTAACTAAGTTATAACCTCTGAGGCTCTAAATAGTTATGGCTAATTTATGAAAGCAACAGGTAAGAACAAAAACTAATTTTCTGCCAGGAAACAAAACTTCTGTTGCCAGTTTTCTCTATATTTTAAAATTTACTTTATTGAATATGCACTTGCACATTATATTATAATTACTGGCATATCTATTTTATTGCTACAGGTTCCTTGAGAGCCAGATTTATGTTCTTATAAACTTCTGTGAGAAAGAGTTGAACTTGATAAATATTTAGTCTATGAAAACATATAGGAGAATCATTTTTTTTAAAATTCTAAATATGTGGTTTATTTTACATTAGTCTTAAAATGCAAGCTGATTGTACATTTTTGCGTATTTGTTGTTTCTTTTTTCAAATTATGTTTAGCTTCAAATATTTGTAATCATCATGTTGATGATGATCTCTGCTAAATCTATATTTTTACTAAAAAATGTCTAATTCTATTTTGAACAAAACCCCAAAACAGCAAAATAAAATTGAGCTATGCTGTTAAAAGGATTTACTTACGAATATTTCTTCCTTATTTGAGGTTTCTTTAAGTCTCTGTAAATCCATGCTCTCTCTGTGTCCTTAAAGAGAGAAAAAAGATTACAACAAAAATTTGTTTTTTTCTTATCTATCCAAATGATGTTACTGAATTAAGTCTATATTAACAAGTGATTTGTGTTGTTTTTAAGTAGTTTTGATGGCTTTGCAGTTTGCTGTAGCTCTTTTGATAAATACTAAAAATATCTATCAAGCAGCTAGAGAAGATGAGTAGCTCAATAGCAAAAGCCAAAGGTCTCCTACAAAAAAATGTAGCATGTGACAGGAAGTGAACTGCTTGAAATATAAAAGGAAAAAGGGAAAAAACACTAATTATTTTTTATCATTTTTACTATTAATAAAATGTAAAAGCATTATATATTAGATATACATGTTAAATACCTATCACATGCATATATATATAATATATATTACATATACATATTACAAATACACATCGTATACATAGGTATATAAATCTCCATCTTAGCAGCAATATAGTATTAGTAAAAAAGACTAAAATGGCCGAAACCGGTTTGGCTCAGTGGATAGAGTGTCGGCCTTCGGACTGAAGGGTCCCAGGTCGATTCTGGCCAAGAGCAAATGCTGGGGTTGCGGGTTCAATACCCAGTAGAGGGTGTGCAGGAGGCAGCCAATCAGTGATTCAATCATTGATGTTTCTATCTCTCTCTCCCTTTCCCTTCTCTAACATTATGAACCTAACCAGCTCTATAATGCATGCCCTCCTCACCTTTCTCCTCCATATGTCAGACTGTCAACATTTAAATATGCTTTAAGTCTCCATCATCATTAAAACCCTATCTAATAAAAAAGTAGCATGCATATTGACCATCACTCCAAACATATAAGATAGCCATCCCCATGTGGACACAAGATGGCTGCCACAAGATGGCCGGCATGGGAGGGCAGTTGTGATCAGGCCTGCAGGGAAGGGCAGTTAGGGGCAATTGGGCCAGCAGGGGAGCAGTTAGGTGTCAATCATGCAGGCAAGGGAGTGGTTAGGGTGTAATCAGGATGGCAGGCAGAAGCGGTTAGGGGTGGCAGGCAGGTGAGCAGTTGGGAGCCAGCACTACTGGATTGTAAGAGGGATGTCCAACGGATCCACCAGGATATAGCCTAAACAGGCAGTCGGACATCCCTCGAGGAGTTTCAGGTTGGAGAAGGTGCAGGCTGGGCTGAGAGACACCCTCCTCTGTGTATATACTAAAAAAGGGTACTATGCTAATTATACTGGGAGACCTCCGGACATCCTTCTGGACAAAGCTATGGTGGTGGGGCTGAGGCAGAGGCAATTAGGGATCAGGTAAAAAGGGGAGGTCAATTGGGGGTGATCATGCCAGTGTGTGTGTGGGGGGGAGGGCAAAGGCCAGTGGGGACGGGCAATTGGGGATGATGAGGCCAGCAATCCAGAACAGTGGGGGTGAGAAGGCTGGCAAAGGAGGACAGGTGGGGGCGAGCAGGCTGGAGGGAGGGGCAGTTGGGAGTGAGCAGGTCGGCAAGGGGGGTTCAGGTGGGGGTGAGCAGGTTGGCAGAGGGGGTCAATAGGGGTCGAGCGGGCTGGCAAGGGGGGGGTCAATTGGGGGCAATAAGGCCAGCAAAGGGGGAAAGTTGGGGACCATAAGACAGCAAGAGGGGAAAGTTGGGGGTGAGCAGCTGGCGGGGTGGAGGGGTGCTGTTGGGGGCAATCAGGCCAGCATGGGGAGCATTTAGGGGTGATTAGGCTGCAAGGAGGGTGCAGTTGGTGGCCATCAGGCCAGCAGGCAGAGTGGTTAGGGGCACTCAAGCAGGCAGGCAGGTGAGCAGTTAGGAGTCAGTGGTCCCAGATTGCAAGAGGGATGTCCGACTGTTGGACATTCTCTGAAGCATTCCAGATTAGAGAGGGTGCATGCTGGGCTGAGGGACACATCCTCCCATGCACAAATTTCATGCACTGGGCCACTAGTCCTATATAATAAAAAGCTAATATGCAAATCAACCAAAGGAATGCTATGATAGACACTGACTACCAGGGGGGCAGATGCTCAACACAGGAGCTGCCCTCAATGGTCAGTGTGCTCCCACAGGGGGAGCACCGCACAGCCAGAAGCTGGGCTCACGGCTGGCAAGCGCAGTGGCAATGGTGGGAGACTCTCCCACCTCTGTAACAGCCTTAAGGATGTCTGACTACTGGCTTAGACCTGTCATCAGTTGGACATCCGGACTGCGAGAGGGCACAGGCCAGGCTGAGGGACCCTCCTGAGTGCACAAGTTTTGTGCACTGAGAGTCTAGTAAATATATAAACCACAATAGTAGTTATTTCTTTCTCTTACATTCACTGCCAAACTTTTTGGAGTTATCTCACCCCAGTCACTCTCTTTACATTCCCTCCTCCTATTCATACTTTGATTCACTATACTAATCTGGTTTCTCCCTCCACTAATTCCTCCATTGAAACAGTTTTCACTAAGATCATTAATATGTTCATCAATGCCTCTCTCCCTCCCTGCTAAAACCAATTAAAAACAACATCAAAATATCCTTCAGTGAGGATTAATTAAAAAAAAAAGGGGGAGGGGGGCTGGCCAGTGTTGCTCAGTGGTTGAACATTGACCTATGAACCAGAAGATCATGGTTTGATTTCTAGTCAGGGCACATGCCCAGGTCCAGGGCTCAATCCCCAGTAGGGGATGAGCAGGAGGCCATCGATCGATGATCCTCTCTAATCACTGATGTTTCTATCTCTCCTTTTCCCTTCCTCTCTGAAATCAATTAAAAAATATTAAAAAAGAAAAGAATTAATCATTCCTGGTGGGGGAAAGTAGCTATTAGGAGCCTGGTGCACGAAATTCATGCATTGGTAGGGTTCCTAAGACTGGCCAGCGATCAGGGCAATCAGAAGAGAATAAAGGGCAGATAAATGGTGATGGAAGGAGACTCTACTTGGAATGGTGAACATACTGGTACAATATACAGATGATGTATTATAGAACCGTATACCTTATTCTATAAAAGTCTAGTATGCAAATTGTCCCCTTGGGAATTCAACCGCTCACTGTGACATACGCTGACCACCAGGGGGTGGCAGCTGGCAGCGAGGAGAAGGAAAGCCCTGAATGGCCCCGATTACTGGCCAATCCTAAGGACCCTACCCATACATGAATTTCGTGCGCCAGGCTCCTAGTAGCTATATAACATTAACAAATGTCACTCCAATGAATTCCATTAATAAAAAGAATGATCACCTTACAATATTTCTGCAAACTTGCTACTATTAGTCTAAATTTATTTCAAAATTAAAAATTTAAATAAACAAATTATTATTTTTTGAAATGCTCTCTTCTTTGGATACTATAAATGAGTTGACTATAAGTAGAATTCTGGCATTCACTACTGACCTGATGTAATTATTAGCAGTGTACCCTTTCACTCTTTTAAGTGTACTGGTTTAGATAAAAAATTATATGGTCATCCTACTTATAAGTCAATTTTCTTTTCCAGTTATTTCCAGCCTTCTCTGTATGTCCCTATTATTCCCCAATATGTAGGTTCTTTCAATACACGTTGATCAAATTCAATAGAAGATCCTCAAATTCAAAAGACAAGGTTCAAAAAAGTTTTCCAAACAATTGTTATCGTAGGAAACTGCACCACAGGTATAAATATTTCTCCCATTTCTGTTTCCTTGCAAAAATTTTGGAACCACACTCTATTATTAGATCTACATATACACCACTTGTCACGTGAGTACATAGTTTCAATTAGTTATTGCTAATTTTTATTTCTATGGTAATAATAATAATTACAAAATAAATAATATTGATATACAAATATCACGTTGCCAAACTTACCCACAAATGCTCCAAATTCTATAGTATCACCTTCTGCAGCTTTAGAACAAACAGTTCCTTGATCTTTGGTTACAATTTCCAAGTGGCTTTTGCAACTTGGTTGGGATGGTGTACTAACAAAAAGTTTGGTTGGTGGGGATGATAGTGGTATACTATTAGATGACCTGCCTGACTTATTTTTACTAAATATTTTTAAGGTTTCTACTCCCTGTAGTCTCTGTCGCAGTTCTGGAGGCGAAACAGCACTTTGGAATAAGGCACCACAAGAGGAACCAGCCTCTGGAAAATGGAATTCTGTTCTCTGGGGAATTAAAGGTAAATCATGACCCAATATGTTACCTTGGGGATCTTTTTCATCTTTCACAAAAATATTACAAAGAAAAGGGTTACTACTTTCAAGACTATTTTGAGGAAGAGAGGAGCTAAGGGTATTTACAACACCCTGCTTTTTCCATACAGAAGGTCTTACAGGACCATCATCAATAAGGTTTTGAGCCAAATGTTTGGAAATGCTCAATTCTCGTGTAATTTCATTATGAACTTTACTAGCTTCCGAAGCTTTCTGAGCAGTGAGTGTTTTTAATGTATCCACAGTCAGGGCCGAAAGATCTTGCAAATGGCCAATTTGAGAATCTAATGACTGTAATGATCTTTTTATATAGTTGACTCGATCTCCAACTTCTTTCATCTGAATGCACATTTGTTCCACTCTATAAGGGAAAAACAGGCATTTTACAAATGTTGAAAATTAATGTTTTAGAAATTTTTTTGTAACTTCAATAAATTATGATAAAAATAAGTTATAAAATAAGGTATGATTATTTATAGAAAGTACACTTTATATTTAAGAAAGCTTCCATGCCAATCCCATCATAATTAAATACAAAACTTCCATTACCAATATTATATCTACACCAACACCATATGCTTTCCTGATATAGCATAGCTGATAGAAACAAATAACCTAATATAATAATAGTTTTAATTTTCTCCCACTAGTAAAAAAAACCATTAATTCTTCTCTGCCCTCATTAATAAGGATAAAAAATAACATATGACTGACTTATTGACATACATGAAATATTACAACTGAATTGTCTCCCAAAATACAATGTAAAACTATTACCAAACTTACTTGTTTGACAAACATAAATTGAACAATAACCATATGTATAAGAGACATAACTATAAGGATCTATTCTAATATATAATCAATTATAATTAAAGAGCTTCTGAACCTTTCAAAAGTTACACGAATTCTCTCTTCACTCCCAGAATTGAATTTGTCATCTTTTTCATTAAAATACATCTCAACACACTGCTCTTCAAAATCATGAAGTTTCTTTTGATCTTCTTCTGTTAAAAAAAGTTCTATGGAAGAAAAAGAAAAAAATAAATCAATAAAGGCTATCAAGATATCCATCTTTAACTAATGAGTCATGAATTATGCAGGGTTCATAAGCCTAAAAGCATTTTTTACAGCTGTATGTATATCTAAAGCACTAACAAGTATTTCTGTTTCTTTCTTTATTCATAGTGTGATCTTAGGAGAACAGTTTCAAGTACTTCTGTCCTAAAGATTTTTTCCCATAAAACACTCTTCCCCACCTATTTCTCAGAACTCTCCCTTACATATCCAGGTAGATGAATTTAAGAACTGAACTGGTAGAGCAGAAAGAGATTGTAAAATTTTAAATACCACGTTTCCCCGAAAATAAGACCTCTCCAAAAATAAGACCTACTTACAGATTTCCTTCTGAGTGAAATATAAGGCATCCCCCCGAAAATAAGGCCCCCTCTAGGCTCTGTCTCAGAATGCTATTGCTAAACATGAGAGATTTGGTCCACTGATTCTGAAAGAAATGGAATCACAAGAAATTCACCAGGAAATTCAGGAATTGGATTGTTATGATGATGTTCCAGATGATGATGACATGATTGTCATTGAATAAATGAGTAAATTCTTGATACTGTAGGATTCACAGTTTGTCTGGTTTGTGTTGACAACTACTGTACTACCGTACCGTATACAGGTAATAAATTTCCTTTATTTTCATTTAACAATAAATGTGTATCGTCTTCTTCTTCATGGAAAAATAAGACATCCCATGAAAATAGGACCTAGCACATCTTTGGGAGCAAAAATTAATATAAGACACTGTCTTATTTTCAGGGAAACAGGGTAGTTTGATATGATAATTAGTCTCATGCAGTATACAAAATGTACTATAAGTACTGTTTCCAAAGCAGCAAAAATGATTTGTGGAACAGAAAGCATTATATATATGCTAGAAGCCTGATGCACGAGGATTCCTGCCAGAATGGGCTTTCCTTTCCCTGGCTGCCAGCACCACCTTTCCACTCCGACCCAGCCCTTTCTGCTCAGGCCCCGCCTTCCCACGCTGTCCAGAGGCCCTGAGAGACCAGGGATGGGGCAGAATGCTTACATGTCGCCATGGCCCCATCACTCAGCACCTGTGTACACAAATTAATCACCATCTTTGTTGGGTTCATTTGCATATCACTCCTGATTGGCTGGTAGCTTAGCGGCGGTACGGTTAATATACATGTTGTCTATTATTAGGTAAGATTATCATTTAAAAAAAAAAAACAGATGCCATTTTCAAAAAGAAGTTTAATACTAAATTCATTTTACAGATGTCATAATTTGCTTAAAATTCTGTTTTGAAAAATTCAACAAAAGTTTTTACAGTAACATTAACCAATTAAGTCTTTTGAATAAAATTAATACTTAGCCTTTTGGCCCTGAATGGGTGGCTCAATTGGTTAGAGCATCGTCCTGCATACCAAAAGAATATGGGTTTAATCTCCAGTCACGGCATATAACCTCTGTTGCAGGTTTGATTCCCTGTCAAGGTGCTTATAGGAGGCAACCTTCAATGTTTCTCTTTCAGATGGATGTTTCTTTCTCTCTCTTGCTCTAAAAATCAAATATATCCTTTAGTGAGGATTAAAGAAAAAAACCTAATACTTAGCTTTTAGTATAATACTGATAAATGATAAAATGTAAACACTGGAATAAAAAGCAAATAAACAAAAACATTATTTTAATATATTTTACTTACTTGGTCCATCTGAACTCTTATCTTTTTTCCTTCTTTTACATATGCAGCAAAACAGAGAAGCTATATGGCTGAGAATGATAAGTGGTGGAGGCAGAACTGGTTTCTCATGATAAGTCATAATGAAATGATAACGTTGGTACTTCCATACAATATTGGAAATTGCCTTCACTTGTAAATACACATTGCTTAAATAAAAAAGAATGAAAATAGAACAAATAGCTAATCACATTTTAAATGCTAAAGACTTCATTGTAATTCTGTTTTAAACAGAATTCAAAAGAGTATCTTACCATAAATAAGACAAAAAAAGTCAAATGAGAATTCGGAAAAAGTACATGCAAGAAGTATAAGGCTCAAGGTTTAATATTGTTGAGAATCTTAATTACAAATTCTCCCCAAAATGGGCAAAAATCATTAAGATGTTAAGATTATATATAACTGATAAAAACACAAGTAAATATTCTATCTTAATAGCAACAAAGTAAGTGCAAGTAAAAAATAAGATCCTTTAATGTACTATCAAATTAATAACCATTAAAAATACCTAGTCTTGGCATATTTGAGGACATGGCCTATTTTGACTTAAGTGAAAAAAGCCCTAAAAATATATTGAACGATTCTACTTTTAGAAAAATATTCTAAGGAGCCGGGACCGGTTTGGCTCAGTGGATAGAGCGTCGGCCTGGGGACTGAAGGGTCCGGGGTTCGATTCTGGTGAAGGGCATGTACCTTGGTTGCAGGCGCATCCCCAATAGAGGGTGTGTAAGAGGCAGGTGATCAATGATTCTCTCTCATCGATGTTTCTAACTCTCTATCCCTCTCTCTTCCTCTCTGTGAAAAATCAATAAAATATATTTAAAAATATATATTCTAAGGAAATACTTAAGGACTGATAAGAAAGTTAACCACAATGTCATTTTGGGAACAAAAAGTTATAAACAACTAAACAATATAACATACTAGCTTGAACAATTATGATTACATCATGGTATACCAGATAGCTATTAAAAATAAATGAGAGGTCCTTGGCTGGTGTGGCTCAGTTGGTTAGTATTGCCCCATTCACCAAAGAGTTACCAGTTTAATTCCCGGTCAGAGCATATACCCAGGTTGTGGGTTCAATCCCTCACTGGGGTGCATATGGAAGCAATCAATTGATGTTTCTCACATTGATGTTTCTGTCTCTTCCTTCCTCTTATAAGTATCAATTAATATAAGTATATGTGTGTGTGTGTACACACATATATTTATGAATATTATTATTTTGTTGTTTGTTAATCTTCACCCAAATCTTCTCATTGATTTTTTTAGCGAGAAAGGGAGGGAGGAAACATCAATGTGAGAGAGACGTAACTGATTGGTTGCTGAGCAAAACTGGGTAGGGCTATATGAATATTATTTTTGAAAAGAAAAGAAGTCCCTATATATTCATAAAAAATGATAAAAAGATGTACACCAAAATATTGATGGAATTACTGATTAATTTTTTATTTGCTATTCTATTTGATTACTGAATGGGTATTTGACAACTTATTAAAAATCCCAAATAAAGGTTTACATTTACAAAAGAACTGCATGTTGAAAGATATTTAATAAAGTTTCAAATTCATAACTCATTTAATATGAAAATGAATGTGTTCTTATTTGCAAATTTCAAAGATAATTTTAGTTTAGGCCTCAACAAAATTTTTGGAATTAAAATTTTATTTCCTTCAAATTGAGTAGAAATATATGCTAAATGATCTCATTACAATAAGCAACTGAATAAAATTCTTACTTGAAAAATGCAATAAGAAGATTGACCATAATGATATACTGTACAAAGAGGTAGACTGCTTGAAGAAATGGAGTCAACCACGTCCCAGGACCACAGATTCCAGGGATAGTAGAATCATTTGCACACACTTTAGAAAGAAAAAATATATATATTTAGTAATTCACTAGTAATTGCTTCTAATGAGTATTTATGTTTGTTTGGGCAAAGGAAGTTTTGATTATATATAAATCTGTTTTATAGATTCTAGCAAAAGTACTGGGCAGGCAGCCACAGGAACATCAACTTAGAAATATTCCAACACAGAAGAATTTTGTGAGGGATATAGATATCTGTTCTAGCACTCTATTCTAGACAAAGAAATATATTTTTACATTATGTCTAATCTTCAAGGTAGGGGTTAGCCTGAGGAGCATTAAGGAGAATATAATTCCCAGATTCAGCCACACTAACATTTCTATAAGAAAAGTAATGGAACCATAAAAGAGTACAGTAAACTCACAGTCCACTTACAAACATAAAGATTACTGAGTTTATATTATTATGTCACAAAAGAGGGTCTACAGAGTGGTTCAGATGCCTCTCAAATATACAGTGATTAGGTTTGAATTCTAAGCTTTCATTATTCCCACCAGAAATGTTTCTGAAGTCAGAATATTGCTGAATACAAAAATGTGAAGAGCTTTAATACCAGGCATGAAGTTATTTGAGTAAAGTAAAAACAATTTAAGAAAGCAAGGATTAGAAGTAAATAACCGTTAATTAGTGACAAATTCTGTATCACTCCTAAAAAAGTTTACAAATCTGCCGAAACAGGTTTGGCTCAATGGATAGAGCGTCAGCTTGGGGACTAAGGGACCAGGGTTTGATTCCGGTCAAGGGCATGTACCTTGGTTGCGGGCATGTCCCCAGTAGGGGGTGAGCAAGGGGCAGCTGATCGATGATTCTCATCGATGTTTCTAGCTCTCTATCTCTCTCCCTTCCTCTCTGTACAAAATCAATAAAATATATTTTTTTAAAAAGTTTACAAATCTATTTCCATTTTGCTCAGATTAATTTGATGAAGCATACTCAAGAAATAGAATGCTGGAGACTAAAAAACTATATCCAGCCCTGGCCGGTGTGGCCCAGTGGATAGAGCATTGGCCTGCAGACTGAAGAGTCCTGAGTTCGATTCCAGTCAAGGCCATGTACCTTGGTTGCGGGCACATCCCCAGTGGGGGGCGTGCAGAAGGCATCTGGTCGATGTTTTTCTCCCTTAGATGTTTTTAGCTCTCTATCCCTCTCCCTTCCTCTCTGTAAGAAGTTAATAATAATATATAACTATATCCAATGCTTTACAACAACTAAACTAGAGCCACATCAAAGAGTGTAGCCAATGAAAACCTGGAAAGAAACTGAAGAAGCAATTAAAATTTGACCAAGCTGGCAAAACCTCATTGTTTCAACATCTGATAACAACCAATGACCACGATCTGGCCCTCCCTGACCTTATAATCTATAAATAGATGGGTATGGAGCAACACAGGTATGGGGTGAGAGCGAGATCAAGAGGGAGCTAACAAGGTAAAGATTCCACAACCAAGATGTGGAGGTCAGTAGAAGAACATCTCTGTTCCTGACTCGCTTAGTGCGCAGAGCATCAGCCTGTGAACTGAAGGGTCCCGGGTTCGATTCCAGTCAAGGAAACATGCCTGGGTTGCAAGCTTGACCCCCAGTGGGGGACATGCAAGAGGCATCCAGTCAATGATTCTCTCTCATCATTAATGTTTCTATCTCTCTCTACCTCTCCCTTCCTCTCTGAAATATATATACATACGTACATATATATAAAAGAACATCTCTGAAAGTTGGCTGTATTGCCAATGTTAGCAAGTTATTTAGCCCAATTAACAAACAATCCAAAAAAAAAAAAAAAACCCCACAAAAAACCCCCACACCATTTATCACCTAAATTCATCATGATTAGTCTAAACCAGTGGTCAGCAAACTCATTAGTCAACAGAGCCAAATATCAATAGTACAATGGTTGAAATGTCTTTTGAGAGCCAAAGTTTTTAAACTTAAAACTTCTTCTAATGCCACTTCTTTAAAATAGACTCACCCAGGCCATGGTATTTTGTGGAAGAGCCACACTTAAGGGGCCAAAGAGCTGCATGCGGATCGTGAGCCTCACTTTGCAGACCATGGGTCTAAACTAATCAATAAAACCCCATTAGCATTGCCCTGTTTCAGAGCAATTGAAATTGAAGGGCATTTGAGCTAGTGAGACAGCAGTACAGGTACAATAGGGGGTTCTGGAAAAGGGATTTTTCCCCCTAAAGAGCACAATGGAAAACAGTATCTCTTCCTGTTGCTTGTTACATATAGTCTCATAATCATAAGGGAAACTTGTATGAATCAGACACTATGATTTCAGAGCCATGGGAGGAAAGAGAATAGATGTCCTTAGCTATGAATTAACAACCCTTAAGACCACTCTACCTCTGACCTTTGTTATGTGAACTAGTAAATGTCCTTATTATGTATAAGCTAGTTTAGGCCACACTTTCACAACTTACAACTAAACAAACACCTCTAAAATACTTTTTTCCCCATTAATTTTTTTGTTTCTTCTGGAATTAACTAATTTACTGTGTCAAGAGTTAGGCTGGTAACAGTTTGAAAATATGTAATCTACAAACATAAAAGCTTAATACACAAAGTGTCACCTCAGGAGTTCTACTGACCAGGAGTTCGATCACTCACTATCACATGCATTGACCACCCAGGGACGGCACTAAATGAAGGAAGGTCCTGATTGGCATCCAGGGAAGGGAGACTCCGGCTGGCAGCTGGCAGCCAGCAGCCGGTAGCCGCTAGGTACGCTACCTGTGCACAAATTTTGTGCACTGGGCCTCTAATATTACTGTAATGCAGTTTCCTACTTTAAACATAAAAGATGAATTTGTAAACATAAACCCTTACCATCAATTTCATATGCGTAAACTTCACCAAAAATCATCCAGTATGGATGAAAAACTATATCTTTAGCAAGAGTCCAAGATGGTTCTTCACGAGGATAAAGTATTGCTTTTCTGGGAACACCAAAACTAAGTAATACAAGAGCCATAATCACTACAATGTAGAACATATTGGCCACCTGTTGAAAAATGAACACTGTTAAAATACATTAAACACAATGACAATAATCATCTTAAAAGTTCTAGTGTTCTAATAGATAACTAAAATATCTGAGTTTCTTTTTTATCCCTAATATTAGCATTGAAAAAAATCTCATTACTATATAAACCTTAACCAAGGAGATTATGTAAAAATTGATCTGTGAAGCTAGGCAAGTCACAGACATATCCTATCTAATAAAAGTGTAACATGCAAATTAACCATCACTCCATTACAAAGATGGTGGGGCCCATCCTCTCAGTCCTGGCAGAGTCCCCTACTCCTGGAGGCGGGGCGAGGGTGTGGGGGGTAGAAAGAAGTTGACAGCGGGTAGCTTGAGTGGCCTGGTAGAATGCTTGCATCGTCGCTGTGGCAATAAGGCAAACGTTCCAGCTCGGCTGCAGAGGTCCTCTGGCCAGGCCAGGGCACAGAACACTTGCGTAATCATCCCAGCGATGAGGCAAGTATTCCGTGCCCGGCTGCAGATGGGCCTCTGGCCAGGCCAAGGTGCAAATGGGCCTTGGGGCCACAGAGAGCCTCTGGGCAGCAGGCACAGAATGGCCAGACCCCACAGAGACCTATTAGCTCATGGATTTTTGCACAGGGCTAGTTGTTTTATATAATGAACTGTATCGCATTTCTGGTTCTAATTGAAGGCTATCTGGAGTAAAAGTGTACCTAGTGGCTGCTGGCTGCTGGCTGCTGGCTGCCAGTGGTTGGCAAACTGCAGCTCTTTGGCCCCTTGAGTGTGGCTCTTCCACAAAATACCATGTGCGGGTGCACACATATAGTGCGACTGAAACTTTGTGGCCCATGTGCAAAAGTTGGTTTTCGTCTCTCAAAAGAAATTTCAATAATTGTGCTGTTGATATTTAGTTCTGCTGACTAGTAAGTTTGCCGACCACTGGTCTAGACACATGGACAGACTTTCCAAATACTTCTATACTGAAGGTGCAGACTCTTTTCTACTCCTTCTGCTAACTGTCCTTTGCTCACTTCACCAAAAGAAAAAGAGGAAAAGCCGAAACCGGTTTGGCTCAATGGACAGAGCGTCAGCTTGGGGACTGAAGGATCCTGGGTTTGATTCTGGTCAGGGGCATGTGCCTTGTTTGCGGACACATCCCCAGTAGGGGGTGTGCAAGAGGCAGCTGATAGATGATGACTCTCTCATGTTTGTTTCTAACCCTCTATCTCTCTCCTTTCCTCTCTGTACAAAATCAATAAAATATATTAAAAGAAAAAAAAAAGAGGAAAAAAAAGCAAGCATTCTCATTCATACTGAACTCTAGCATGATGCCTGGTCCTGGGCTACAAAAACCTCATGGGAACTAAAGCAAAACTACAAACTATATTATTAATATGGATGTTGAAAATTAAATGAGACCAATTTTTGACTAACAATTCCACTTGCAAGTTAGGTAGTTTGTAATTTCAACAAATTAAAAAAGAGACAAATTGAACTATATCACCTATTAAGTTACTGAAAAAATAATTCTTATGAAATCACAATGTGAATTTTGGTATCATTACTCAGAATTCAAAGAATTAAATACTATAATAAAATTTCAATTTCTACCTACATATTGAGATACACAATGATTAGCATTTACATCGAAAGAGGTAAATGTTTCATTCTAGTAATACGTAATATTTACTACAAATAATCATCTACTGAGGGAAGCACTATACAGATAAGAGACTATATTTATAATAAATCTATACTTTACTGTGAAGGAACAATTATTGTAATAAATCAACCTAAAAATTATTATAACATTTTCCTATATTTTAAAAAATAAATACATCGTAAAAGTAAAAATGGAACAAAAAAAACATGAAACATAAATAGGACAATAAGTCTAGACTAGAAGAAGTAATTATAAAATATTTACTTCTATATAATAATTTAGACTTGATCCATCATCTTTAAAATCCTGTTAGATCGGTCAATAAGAACTCTTTTTGATAGTCTGTGACTTGCAATCAAAGAGTCCTAATACCCTCCAAGATTCTGTTTTCTTATTTGTAAAACAATAAGAGTATAGTTGAGAGAATGCATGTTCTCAATCAACAAAATATTATGATAAAAGATTTTAGCCGAAACCGGTTTGGCTCAGTGGTAGAGCGTTGGTCTGCGGACTGAAAGGTCCCAGGTTTGATTCCGGTCAGGGGCATGTACATTGGTTGTGGGCACATCCCCAGTAGGGGGTGTGCAAGAGGCAGCTGGTCGGTGTTTCTCTCATTGACGTTTCTAGCTCTCTATCTTTCTCCCTTCCTCTCTGTAAAAAATCAATCAATCAATCAATAAATAAATATATATATACATATATATATATAAATTAAAAAGGCAAATAATTCATCAAAGCATTATTCATGGCATTTAATATACTTTTGAGATCCAAACATTCATCTGTAATTTTTTTGAAAGTCCAAGTCAAAATTCAAAACACCCAAATCTGTGACTACCATAAAATTATTCAAGGTCTATAGCTGATCTTTCAGAGATATCTATATTTCATAACTTTTACTTTTTTAAAAAACAAAATCTTTATTGGTGTATTACAGATCCCCCCCCCTTGCTTCCTTCACCTGATTCCCACCCCACCCCAGGCCTTCACTAATGTCTGGCACTAAAGATAGGGAGGCTTAGCAGACATCTAACACAAACAGGCAGCCAAAATAGAAAGACCCCCCTCAAAAAAAAGAAAAAAAAAAAAAAAGCCCCAAAGGAAAACAAGTTGTTTTCTGTTTCTGACTGGTCCTGAGTACCCTGTTTGGAGCTATCAGCAATCCACAGCTTGTGGCTCCCTTGGCTGTAGCTCGGTGCCTTTGGAAAGGACCAAGATGTGCATCAAGATTTGCTTTTCCTAGCCCTGGGCCCAGGATTACATAAATCAGGCAAAGATTCAAAGCCTGGACCTGCCTCTGCCTGCAGCCTGATTATAATGTCTTGATTTGCCTTGTTATTAACCACAGGGGGGGAGGAGAGTTTTTCTCATAGGGTGGGGCAATAGCTTCTGCCTGCAGGCTGATTGTCATTCTAAGTCTCTTAGGGACCTCAGAAACTCCAAAGGATGAGCAACTGCCTTCTCCCCAGGCTAAGACCACCTGAATAACAAAGGTCTTCTGCAGAAAGATGCTCTGAGCAGTGTGAGACAATGACTCAGCACAGGAAACAGGTGTCTGCCTTCTGACCTCTAACTCCAGAGACCCAAACCTGGTTTCACACAGCTCCAATTCACCTTTCCCTCCCCTCTGCTGGAGCACAAGGTAAGTGGCTGCACATAAAATTTTGCTTGTTGGCCCTTCAAGAGGGTGTCTGCATAGCAACCCTGCTGCCTTTCAAAGCCAGATGTTATGTGGGCACCTTTCTCAGTTCTGGTGTTCTGGGTTGGGGAGCTCAGTTTGGGGTTTAGACCTTTGAGTTCTCAATGGGAACTCCACACAGCTGATTTCCCTCCTGAACTTCAGCTGCTATCTGTGGGAGCCAGCCAGCCCTTTTACCCCTCCACACTTTCTACCAGCAATCCATTTGTGGTCTCCACTTCCCATCTTTGATTATCAAGGTTCTCTCCAGATGACTTTTCAGGGTGGTGTTTTTGTATTTTACTTGTAATTCCAGTTTGGTCCTAGGAGTGTGTCAGTATAGTTTCCACTTACTCTGCTGCCATTTTTGAATCTCTCTGTTTTGGAGATTGTAAGTCCAAGATCAGTGTGCCAGCATTGATTAGGTAAGGGCACTCTTCTGGGTCACAGACTTCATGCTGTCTCCTCACATGGTTAAAGGGCCATAACTTTTTTTTATTAGCAAAAGATAGAAATTTACTGAAAAACAGACAGACTCCCACGTGGAGAGGGGAAAAGAATCCCCACCATAACTTTTTACATAAAGCCTATCTGACAATCTTCAATATACTTGATCTAAATTTAATTAACTAAAATATTTGAATATTCTATTCTAAATTGAGAATTTCTCGTTGGAGAGAATGGGTGACATTTACTGTTTATCATATAATTGTCTTTAATATGAACTCTACTAAAAATAGCTACTGTGGGGAAGACTTTTTTTCCATTTTAATCTCTTATATCTTCAAGTTTTTCAAAGCTACTTTCTCTGATAACAAATTCCCTCATCAGGAAACATTCCTACCTGTTTTCTAAACTATTTTCAAATACCAGTCTTTGTGAAAGCCTTCATGACAGAATTTGCTACTAGTTCTATAGTATTTACAGGTTAGCATATCTTTCTGTACTGGTGAATAGAAGAAAGACATAATCCTAATGGAAGGTGGATCTAAAGATCATGGATAAAGAAAAAAATAAAGCATATATTCAAGCTCCCTATAGGTGAGATGAAAAAATTGGCAGGAATATTTGGAGTATATTAGAGGCAAGATTTGGAAAGAAATCCTGATAGCTCCACTTAACTTTTAGATTCCTCTGCTTTTCCCAACTCCATTTTTATTATGGCTGTCCACTTCTGTGCTTCCTACACCTCCCATTTACTGTACATTACCAATGAACTAACCCAATAGCATTAAGTCACTAAATAATCTGGCAATGAGAGCTGGAGCTCCTTACATATTAAATATTAGGATAAAACCAATTATCTTAAAAAATATGAAGATAATGTAAGGAGCCTCTGGAACAACTTTAAGCGTATAACATCCGAATTTTGGGGGTGCCAGAAGAAGAGAGAGAGCAAAATATTGAAAACCTATTAGAAGAAATAATGAGAAAAAACTTTCCCCATCTGGTAAAAGAAATAGACTTACAAGTTCAGGAAGCACACAGAACCCCAAACAAGAGGAATCCAAAGAGGACCACACCAAGACACATCATAATTAAAATGCCATGGACAAAAAAAACAAAGAGAGAATCTTGAAAGCAGCAAGAGAAAAACAGTTAGTTACCTACAATAGAGTACCCATACGAATGTCAGCTGATTTCTCAACAAAAACTATGCAAGCCAGAAGGGAGTGGCAAGAAATATTCAAAGTGATGAACAGCAAGAACCTACAACCAAGATTGTTCTACCCAGCAAAACTATCATTCAGAATTGAAGGTCAGACAAAGAGCTTCACATACAAGAAAAAGTTAAAGGAGTTCATCATGACCAAACCAGGATTACATGAAAAGCTGAAGGATATTATTTAAGAAGAAAAAGGTAAAGATAAAAATTATGAACAACCAAATGACATCAAGTACGCATGTACCAACAAGTGAATAAAATGTCTGAAGAACAGAATGGACTTGTGAATATAATGGAATTAGGGACATAATAAATAAAATGTGTTCCCTCCCTAACAATATACATAAAAATATTATCTTCAGCCGAAACTGGTTTGGCTCAGTGGATAGAGCGTTGGCCTGCAGACTGAAAGGTCCCAGGTTCGATTCTGGTGAAGGGCATGTGCCGTGGTTGCAGGCATATCCCCGGTAGGGGGTGTGCAGGAGGCAGCTGGTCGATGATTCTCTCTCATCGATGTTTCTAACTCTGTCCCTCTCTCTTCCTCTCTGTAAAAAATAAACAAAATATATATATTTTAAAAATCTTTAAAAAATTATCTTCAAAAGTTAATACTTTTAGGAATGATTAACTTAGAGTACAAAGCAAATACACATGAAACAACATTCTGATTCAAGTAAAGCTATGTTAACAATTTTATGATTTTAAGAAACAATATTGATAAAGTGATATGATCAGATACCTCTCAACTTACCATTTTTCCAATCATCATTACATAAGGTCCTGCCTGTTGATTTACAGCTAGAAAATCTAGCAAGCGCACATACCAAAATATTATGTTAAGACAGTAAATTAATCTTCCAGCCACAAAAACATGATTATCATATGCATCCTCAAAGTTCCCCTTTGCTCCATATCTTAGTCCAAATCCAATGAAGAAAGAAAATATGGCAATTGTATCACTGATATTGAAGTAATCACTAAACCACACTTTAATCTTCTGGCTTATTTTTCCAGCCTCAGACATAAAGATCTAAAGGTGAAAAAAAAAAAAGTTTAATCAGTTTCTTCCTATTAAAACATATAACAGCATTCACTTATAACATTACAGTAGATTTTTACGTATCTTTTGTATTTCAAAGTATTTTCTTTTTTTATTTTCTTGGCATTTGATGATGCATTTGATCCCAAGACAATTCAATAAGATATCAGAGACAGATACTTCTTCTCCTCATTTTGTATAAAGGAAAAAGCACACATAAAACAACCATTACAGCCGAAGCTGGTTTGGCTCAGCGATAAAGCGCCGGTCTGCGGACTGAGGGGTCCCGGGTTCGATTCCGGTCAAGGGTATGTACATTGGTTGCGGGCACATCCACAGTGGGGGATGTGCAAGAGGCAGCTGGTCGATGTTTCTCTCTCATCGACATTTCTAGCTCTCTTATCTCTCTCCCTTCCTCTCTGTAAAAAAATCAATAAAATATATTTAAAAAAAACAACAACAAAACACTACAAATGACTTGCTCGATTAAATAAGATGCTGAAATCTTTGATTAGTCCACAGATCTCTATATTGGAATGTAAGATGCTTTTGAAAAGTTGCTTTTTCTTTAATGAAATTACACTAGTATAGATGTTCCAAAGGTGCTTTATTTGCAGAAAGTAAACAACTCTATGGTTAAAGTAGCTGTACTTATTTCTTTCCTAAATATGAAAATTAAAAAAAACTGTGTGACATGGTAACACATTTACATCTTCAAAATCATAATGTATCATAAAGTAAATACTGAAAGTCTCCCTTCCACTTTTCTGCCTTAGCCAGTTAAGTTCTTTTTCCATTAGAGACAACTACTTTTATTACAGGCATAGGTCTTTTCATTGTACTTTGCTTTACTGGCTTTAGAGGTGTTGCCTATTTCACAAATTGAAGGCAAGACCCTTCACCAGAAAAAAGATTATGACACGTTTTAGTGACAGATTTGCTTTATTAGAGTGGGCTGGAATCATATCTCCAAGGTATGCCTATACTATCTAATGAATCCTTATAGAAATGTTCTATGAATATACTAGAGGCCCAGATCACAAATTTGTGTACTAGGGGGGTCCCTTGGCCAAGCCTGTGGGATTGGGAAGAAACCAGCTCTTCCAACATCTCCCGTAGGGTCCCAGATTGTGAGAGAGTGCAGGCCAGGCCAAGGGACCCCCACAAGTCAGTCCACAATCAAAACTGGGGAGGGATGGGGGGGTTGGACAGCCGGGAGGGACTGTGAGAGGACTCCAGGGTATGTTTGGCCTGTCTACTTCAGTCCCAATTGGCCGGACTCCAGCAGCAAATTAACCTACCACTTGAAGTATCTGTCCCTGGTGGTCAGTGACAGTATAGTGACTGGTCGACTGTCTGCACTCTCATGGTCAGTGCATATCATAGTGAGTGGCTGAGTGGCCTTAGCATATCATTAGCATATTACGCTTTGATTGGTTGAATGACCAACTGGCCGACAGGACACTTAGCATATTAGGCTTTTATTTTATAGAATGTTTAGAAGAATTCTTTGGAACTTGTTTTTATCATTTAACAACCTAATTTCTTCAAACAAGTTGGTAAAACAACAGATTTCATAAACATATGAATCATCGTACTTAAGAGAAATTTAAAATATATAGTAAGCTAGTTAATAAGATAAATTCCAATGATATCCAAGTGGTAGGGTAGTACAATGCCTTTTATTTATTTTTGCAATTTCAATATATTCTCTAAATGTAAGGAGTCACATAAAATAACTCAGAAATTATTAAGTATATGTGTTATAAAACAACTTATGTAGTTACTAATTTGAATTCAAAGTATAAAAGCATTTTCTCCTCCATATCAAGATATTAAAAATTTACAATTTAGCCGAAATAGGTTTGACTTAGTGGATGGAACATCAGCCTGTTGACAGAAAGGTCCTAGGTTCGATTCCGGTCAAGGGCATATACCTTGGTTGCAGACACATCCCTAGTAGGGGGTGTGCAGGAGGCAGCTGATCGGTGTTTCTCATCTATGTTTCTAGCTCTCTGTCCCTCTCCTTTCCTCTCTGTAAAAAAATCAATAAAAAATATATATATTTTTAAAATTACAATTTAAATTTAAAACTCCTATAGAAATAGGATCTAAATCTTTATGACAATTCAATGGGCAATAGAGTATACTTAAGAGGGCAATGCAAGACAAGAACCTATATCTAACTTACATACCTATATATAACCTATATATAAGTGACTGGCTGTATGTATAATTAATACTTTTTGAAGAGTGGTAGAGAGAGTAAATATCTATGTTCATAAAATATATAAGCAAACACAGATCTAGGTTATGTTCCTGAGACAAATCATTGTCTGTAATTTGTTACAAACACACTGATCTCTATTTTTTTATAAGTAACTAGTGCCGCAGTGCATGGATTCATGCACATCAAAAGGAAATTAACTAGAAAGTAGCCGGTGGGGTGGGACTGGGTGAGATATGCCCTGGAACCAAACTCCAATGGTCCCTCCCTGACTGGCTGCACCTAGGGCAGTGCCATAGCTCAAAGGGTGTCTGTGGAGTGAGTGAGGGTCCCTTGGCTTGGCCTACGGGGATCGGGCCAAAACCAGCTCTCCAATATCCGGAGGGGCTGCAGATTGCGAGGGTGGTTCTTGGGTGAAGCACCCCTGGTATCGTGTTCCCTCCTCTCTGGTGCGTCACCTGAGAACAGCTGCTGTCAAGTCACCACAGCTCAGCAGCTTGGGCAACGAGCGTCTGCCCCCTAGTGGTCAGTGTGTATCATACATCCTGACCGGTCACTTAGCCGTTTATATACGGTATATAGATTTTTTTAATTTATTGATTTTGAGAGAGAAACATGAATTTGTTCTTCCACTTACTTATGCATTCATTGGTTGATTCTTGCCTTGATGGAAGATTGAACCCACAACCTTGGTGTGTGGGGACAATGTTCTAACCAACTGAGCTACCTGGCCAGGGCTGCCATGATTTTTATAACAGAATAAATAAACACGGTCCACTAAAGTCACTCTCCCATAAAGTCATCACTTAAATTATCATACCCATACTCATATATATTCCCAAAACAAAATAAAACATTTTCCATATATACAGTAAGTTACTGGTAGGAAAAACTAAAGACATACCGCACGGACTTTCTCAATAGCATAGGTAAAAATATAAGCAATAACAATCCATTCTTGAACTGAAGGTAATTGTTCCATTTGTACAAGAACCACAAATGTATAAAGCATCAGAAATCCTAAGTAAGCCAACTAAAAAAAACACACAAGATATGAATAAAATTAATTACAAAATATTTTACTTTGAAAAATTTTAAACATACACAAAAAAAGAAACTAAAGGAACTCTTGTGAAGTACACCCAGCTTTAATCATTAAAATAGTTTTAAAAGTAATTCTTCTTCAGTTCAGACATTGCATTTATTAATCAAAATATAAGTGATCTCCTGAGTATAAATGTGTTGTTCTAAAATTTTGTTAGCTTTTTAGTACTTCCCATAGGAAGAATTTTATAATATCAAGGTTTATGTTCTCAGCTTAGCCTACATAATTCTATTTAACTTACAATATACCTAAAGCATCATAATATATGGTTTACTAAAGAACTTCACTGTCATCATCAAGAAACACATACTGCCTGTTTCTTCCCTCTGTGAACAACATAGTATTCCTAGGAACGACAACTAGCTCCTCATCAGTGAGGTTGAAATCCCAAGAAATGGAAACTAATATGAAAAGCATTTGCTCTAGGAAAGGGAAAATTCCACTTTTGATATTCTTAAAAAAAAAAAAATTATAGGAAGGTGATACGGTCTATGTATAACACAGCTAAACAATCATTTCATAGGAAACCCAGATTTATCAATCCTTGTACAATTGTAACTAAGAATCATCTTTGTTTCTACCAGTCTTAAAATAAGCCACATCATGATTTTAAGCTATGGCAGTAAACTGCAATAAATAAAAGAAAAATTCCTGCAGCCACCTGGGTTGTTCATTTTAAACAGTCCTTTCACATGAATGCAAACTAAGATCCCTACATTATTTCCATTAGTGGGGACAGAATTTGGGGATTATGTTAGGTAATTCAAATGTGCAATTTCAACACCTGATCAAGATGAAGTGAGAAAATTTCCATATTGAAATGGAAACGTGATCAATTAGTCTTATGTTAATGAGCATGCGTGTGTTGGAAAGCAATACTTGAAGGAACACATTCTCAAATGTTCATCTTAGCACAAAGCTATTTGTATACTTTAGCTAGTCTTAAAGTCTGACGATAAAAATGAAAAACAACGAAAATAACAATAAAATAAAAACAACTTAAGCCACAGCCAGTGTGGCTCAGCTGTTTGGTGGTTGTCCCCTATACCAAAAGGTTGCTGGTTCGATTTCCGGTCAGGGCACATGCCCGTATTTCAGGCTTGATCTCAGGTAGAGGGTATGCAGGAGAGGCAGCTGATCAATTTTCCACTCTCACACTACTGTGAAGAAAGGAAGGAAGGAAGGAAGGAAGGAAGGGAGGGAGGGAGGGAGGGAGGGAGGGAGGGAGGGAGGGAGGGAGGGAGGGAGGGAGGGAGGGAGGGAGGGAGGGAGGGAAGGGAGGAAGGGAAAGAAGGGAAGGAAGGGAAAGAAGGGAAGGAAGGGAAAGAAGGGAAGGAAGGGGAAAAAGGGAAAGGGAGAAAGGAAGAAAGGAAGAAAGGAAGAAAGGGGAGGAAGGGGAGAAAGGGGAGGAAGGATGGAAGGAAGGAAGGAAGGAAGGAAGGAAGGAAGGGAGGGAGGGAGGGAGGGAGGGAGGGAGGGAGGGAGGGAGGGAGGGAAGGGAGGAAGGAAGGAAGGGAAGGAAGGGAAAGAAGGGAAGGAAGGGGAGAAAGGGAAAGGGAGAAAGGAAGAAAGGAAGAAAGGAAGAAAGGAAGAAAGGGGAGGAAGGGGAGGAAGGGGAGGAAGGGGAGGAAGGAAGGAAGGAAGGAAGGAAGGAAGGGAGGGAGGGAGGGAGGGAGGGAGGGAGGGAGGGAGGGAAAGAAAGAAAGAGAGAAAGAAAGAAAAGAAAGAAAAGAAAGAAAAGAAAGAAAAGAAAGAAAAGAAAGAAAAGAAAGAAAGAAAGAAGTCAATAGAAAAATATTTCATTTAAAAACAAAGCAAAGCAAAAAACAAAGCTTGAGTTTTTCTGGGAAGGAAAGTAAAAACTCATTTGCTCATCCCTGGTTAGTGTTTCTTCAGATGAGACTGACTATCCCTCTATACATGTTCATCAGTAAAATTCATTCCTTCATAAATCAAGAAACAAGTTGATTATGAATAAAACTATATGAATTACCTAGATTACTTTTCAACATCAATTAATATTGCAAAAAAGGCTTATTTCCAAAATTTTAACATTATCTGCAAAAATCCTAAAACAAGAAGTGTTATAATTGTGTATTAAGTGTTCCTTTTGATTAATCTTGACCAATTTTTTTCAGTAGATGATTAGTACCTGTTACCCACTTACAAAGGCATATAGCTACCACATATTTGTTTAGTAAGTTTCTGTTTCCAGTCAGAACTAGATCCAATTAGAACTAAGATGTGTTAACTTTTTATCATTTTATTTGAGAGCTGTTTGGATAAAACTACTTTGAATTTATTGCTCTTTTAAATGGAAAATGGCTTTTCCGTTATTAATTTACATCAAGATCAGTATGGACTCTAGACCACTAAGTCTATCTTTTAAAATCATTATGTTCATACAATTTAAAAACATACCGTGTTAAACCAGAATTTCACAATTGGTGCATGATAAAAGGCATAAAACTTTCGTGTGATTGGAAGCTTTTTTGATTTTATTTGTATTTCCATTTCATTCTTTCCTTCATTGCTGTCCAATATTCTTACTTCTTTAAATACTTCCTAAAATAAAATAACTTATAAATATACACATTTATACATAAATTTGTATAGTCACTTAAAAAAAAATTTTCCCCCTCACCATAGGAATTTCTTCTGTGATGTTTTGAAAGTTGTTTTCACTATCTTCCATTGTCATTTGATGGGCATCTTGAGATTGTGGAATATGAGACATTTCAGCCTTAGTTTTATATTCTAGCATTAATATGGTAGGTGGAACTAAGATGCTTAATATAACCTAAAAATTTCAAAAACATAAATTCATATTTTAGCATTAATAACTTTTAAGAAAATAATACAAGCAGTAAAAAAATATTAAATATCCTTACTATTAGCCATTTTGTCCTTGGTAGTATAGGGAATAAACCTTAAACTTCATTTCTACTTACAACTATTTTTAAAGAGGCCCAGGTTGAATGGTTTTAAGTATTTAAGTATTATGATATGAGGGTATAGAAATATTTAATAAAGACTTGTCCTTTAAAAAAATCAAATTACAACCTGTTCAGAAAATACATTTGTTTAAACAAAATTCAAGCCTTATGAAGTTACTATGTGCTTCATTTTATCCTAAATCTCTTTCTTTGAAAGTGTGCCACATTACATGATTACTCAGCTTGTGCCTCCATAAAAAAAAGCTTAATTTATAAAATTTTGTTACGAAGCACAAAGAAATTAGAATTGTGTATCAGGTTTTCTACTGGTTAATCTTTCACCATCCTTTTAGTAGATGATTAGTATTTGTTATCTACTTATAATAGTTAATGATTGAACTACTTGCCTGATTTCTGCCTTCTAGATTTCTGTACCTTATTTAAGATATAAGATAACAAAAAGGGAGTTTAAAGTAATATCTCTCATTATGATTAAACTGAAAGTACCAGCCCACATTTTTTACCATAAAAAACAGGCATATTCAATATACATCAACTAAATTAAACATAACACATTATTAAGTTAGTAGATAGGAACTGAATTTTAGAATTTAGGAACCATTGTCCATGACTGCTCAGGGCTATAAATGCCATATTTTCATTTGTTGGCCTCATACTTCTGGCTCAGATAGGGGCAACAATCACTTAATACCACATCTGAAAAGGATTTAGAACGAACAATAGGAGGAAAAAGGACATTACATGTCACCCTGTATATAATGCCAACACCACCCCACCCCCAAATAAAAAATAAAAGCATTTTACTATACAACTGGGCTAATCCCACCCCACCCCCTGCTCTTTTAATCTAATCACACCCTTTATATCAATTTTTTTCTAAGGCATACCTTATACCAGGAATTTTTCCTCATATTCAGCCTTCCCATCCACATATCAGATAACAACATTTGTGTACAGGTGTGGGCTACAAAAGGCCTTAGTCTTGAAGAAACTGCTAACTTAAGGCAGGTGGAATTACTCCAGTTTTTCAGTTCATAAGTGAGCAATTTCATAGCCATGGTTTCATCTTGTCTGAAGGATTGTTCTAGTAATTCAACTGCTAGTTGACCAAAATCACTATCAAAAGATAAAAGCAAAAACATACTCATTTTACCAAATTGTAGTTTTAAACCACTATTCTTACATACATTCATAACATGTTCTAATATTTTTAATATTTTCACAAACATACAATACAAACAATAAAAAAAATTAGGGAATTGTGAGGCAATAGAATGATGGTAGCTTTATATTTTCAGATACCTACTACTATGTGGAAATCACAAAGTATTTAAAACATGTCAAATTAAAATAATACTGAAGCCCTAGCTGGTTTGGCTCGGTGGATAGAGCGTCAGTCTGCAGATTGAAGGGTCTCAGGTTCGATTCCGATCAAGGGCACATGGTTGGGTTGAGGGCTCAATCCCCAGTGTGGGGTATGCAGAAGGTCTCTCATCATTGATGTTTCTATCTCTCTTTCTCCCTCTCCCTTCCTCTCTGAAATTAATACAAATAAATAAATAAATAAATAAATAAATAAATAATTTTTAAAGGGTGACTCCAACCCTGGCTGGTATAGCTCAGTTGGTTGGAATATGTCCTATGCACCAAACGGTTGTGGGTTTGATTCCTAGTCAGGACACATACCCAGGTTGTGGGTTCCATTCTTATTTGAAGTGCATTTAGGAGGCAATTGATAAATGTTTCTCTCACTCTCCCTTCATCTCTAAAATTAATAAAAAACATACTCTCTGGTGAGGATTAAAAAAAAAAAGTGACTATGGAGCCGGACCTTTCCCCTGGTCCTTTAGGAAACCCAAACTAACAATGTTCAGTTAAAATTTTTTCTATATATCGGCCGAAATCGACTCAGTGGATAGAGCGTCGGCCTGTGGACTGAAAGGTCCCGGGTTCGATTCCAGTCAAGGGCATGTACCTTGGTTGTGGGCACGTCCCCAATAGGGGGTGTGCAAAAGGCAGCTGACCGATGATTCTCTCATCGATGTTTCTAACTCTCTATCCCTCTCTCTTCCTCTCTGTAAAAAATCAATATATATTTTTAAAATTTTTTCTATATAGTTATTTCAAATATAGAAAAGGGTTAATACCTAGAAGAAAGGAATTACAGACTAACCTAATCATGAAAAACACCTAAAATTTAAATCTCCAGTGAGTAATCATCAGATCCTTGTTTGAGTTACTTTCAGTAATAACTATTACTTTTCTAAAGTCAACCTATTTGGGGGGAGAGAGGTCTTATTCTCTATATTAAAGCTTCTTAGAAACTACCTTTCCAGCTTACAATTCCATTAGTGCACTAAGTAAATGAAAACTTCTATGAAATGTTGCATTCTCCTATAAATGTAGTTCCACCATCTGGAATGCCCTTCCAGTTGAACTCATTTCTTTAGTTCACAGCTTAAACCTTGTTTTCTTCTTTCCTTTTCTCACCATTCCAAGTGGAAATTTTCCTAACCTAATTATTAGTATGTCCAATTATTAAACTAACTTCTGGCATTTCTTCTTTCTTTAGCATATGCATAGGTAGCCAAGTTTCTTTCTAAATTTTTAAAACAAGTCTCTGTTAAATATACAAATAAAATTATACATCTATACCCCCACTTAGTTCATGATATAATCTTCACTTAAACATAGTCTATATTGTATTTTTTAAATGTTCCAAGTCATAAAATATAACTTACTTGGAATACTGTTTCAATTCTTCTGAAGTATCATCAACCAGGTCACTCTGCTTTGCTTCATAGGCCATTGAACGATAGATTTTACAGGCAACTAATGCTTTAGCCATTGATTCCTCACCATGCTGCCACAAAAATCGGGCCATGACCTGCCTCTTCATAAGGCAAGCCCAAATTAACAGTTCATTAAGCGGATAAGGAAAGCGCTTGGTTTCTGGATCATCAATATCTACAATTTCATCTTTGGTTCTTTTTTTCTTTCCTTCTTCCAAAGCTGTATCAATCTTCAAGGAAAAAGTAAATGTTATAAAGCTCATTATAAAAATGCCATGACATTCATGTGGAAATTTTTATAAAATCTCTTTTATGGTATTCTTCAACTTCATATAACTATATCAATTTAAACAATATCAATTTTATATACTTGATTTTTGTTATTGCTCAAAATTCATTTTATAAAAACGGCATTTCCAAAAAAATGCTTTTATAACAGTTTCTCAAAATTAAAGGGACTACATATTTCAACTAATACTTGAGAAAACACAATTTTATTTTATTTTAAAATGTTTTCTTTAATCCTCACCTGAGGATATGGTTTTATTGATTTGAGAGAAAGAGAAAGAAACATCAATCAGTTTCCTCCCATACTCACCCATACTCAACAGGGAATCAAACCTGCAACCTTTTGCTGTACAGGATGATGCTCCAACCAACTGAGCCACTGGCCAGGTCCATAAAACACAATTTTAATGAAAAAGAAGTTTCAGTCCTGGCTGGGTAGCATAGCTGTTTAGATCATGGTCCCAATATGCCAAGGTTGCAAGTTGGATCCCTGGTAAGGACAAATACAAGAACCAATAATGAATGCATATTTCTCTTCTCTCTCTCTCCTTTCTTCTCTCTCACAAATCAATCAATAATTTTTTTTAAAGAAACTCCAGTAACACCTTTGTCCTTCATGTTGTTAAGAAAAATGGAATAAAAAGAGGCAGTTAAGTGTTTATCAAAACATTGTTTAAAAAATTGTATTATTATATAATCAATTCACAATGGGTATCTTTATATGGGAAAATGAAGAATCAAAAATATATCTAAAAACAAAGGACAATTCTTACTAAAACAAGTAGTTCTTTATTTCATAACACTCAATAATTTAGAAAGAACAAAATCCAGAAAGGTATTTAAACAAAAATACCTTTGGTCGGTAGGGCTGCGCTGTTTTAATGAAATGATTATGTCTTGTTTTTTCCTTTTTGTCTGCCCTATTGCCAAAAGATTCATGACTCTTTCGCAACTGAGGAGTGCCACTTGAGGTATTTCGGCCAGACCTCTGAAAATGAAAGCTTGTTATTTTTATAGATTTAAATATGCTGATATGCTTTTTAAAATTCAAGAAACAGTTTATATTATGTATAAATGTGTTCATACCCACATGAAAAATATGATTTGTAGGATATAAATTATAAAAAATTTCAAAATACCTAGTTGAAAACTCTCATTTTTAAAAAAATAAGTTTTTATTGATTTCAGCGAGAGGAAGGAGAGGGAGAAAGAAACATCAACAATGAAAGAGAATCACCAATTGGCTGCCTCCTGCACACCTCCTACTAGGGATAGCACATGCAATCCGGGCATGTGATCTAGGAATCAAACTATGACCTCCTGGGTCATCTAGGTCAAAGCTCAACCCCTGGACACAATCTCATATTTTTAAGACAATGCTACTTTAACCATTCTAATATAAGTAATTTTTAACTTTTAAAGGGTATGATTTAAGCCAAAACCAGTTTGGCTCAGTGGATACAACATCGGTCTGCAGACTGAGAGAGTCAAGGGCATGTACATTGGTTGCGAGCACATCCCCAGTGGGGGGGGTGGGGGGGGGCAGGAAGCAGTTGGTCGATGTTTCTCTCTCATCAATGTTTCTAGTTCTCTATCCCTCTCCCTTCCTCTCTATGAAAAATCAATAAAATTAAAAAAAATTTTAATGAAGTGTATGATTTAAGTTTAAAGCAAATATATAGACTTCCCCCCAAATATTACATACCCGATTATTTCCACCAAGACTATTATATATTAATCGAAAACGTTTCCGAGTATAGGTGCATCTATAAGTTCCTCCCATAAGATATTCAATAACAAGTCCTATATCAATTAGGGTGATCTTATATCCTGGAGGAAGATTTCCCTGGAAACAAAACATTAGTTTTAAAGACAGGATAGTATTTCTCAATAATTCCATGTGATGCTCTAAAATGACAAATATTTACTTTTTACAGAAAGCTGGGATTTCCAGCAGCTAACTTAAGAGAAGGAAGTAGCTTGTTTCTCTTCTTCTTTTTATAAAAGGAAAGAGGATTATAAAGTTGAAGTCTCAAAAGGTGTGGTTCAGAACAGAAATATGGTTTACCACAGACAGTTTGGTCTCCACCACCTTAATAATTCACAGATGGAGGCAAAGGAACTTCTAAGAACCAACTATTTCATTTTCACTGTAACAATACATATCATAAATATCATTTTCCAATAAAAATAATGCTATGTTTCTTAGTGAGTCCATACTTACTTGTAAGTACTATTTAAACAAAATCTTATTGCTATTTTACAGATTATACAAGATTTTATAGCCTTGCCTAGGACTTACTACTACTTTTAATCTTGTTTAGAGCTGAAACTTAATTTTCCCAGGGCTTCAATTTATAAATGAACTTTTGGAACATAAATTCACTTGTGAGTTTGAAAAGATTGTTTCACAATCAACCATTTGGTTAATTCCATTAAATAATCAAAAAGGTTTAATCATCAGATGACTTACATATATTAACCAATTCTATCCTCCCACCATCATCATTCTTTTCATTTCCCTAATTATAATTTCATGAATTTAGTACTGTTAAAAATGCTTATACTTTTTTACATCTTGGTTTCATCTGTGAAGTTTTTAATTCTAGACATCTATATTTTTAAAACCTATTTAAAAATTAATTTTTAAAATGTTCATTTTAAATATTTTATTTTTATATCTAAAACCTCGAAATATACTTTATAATTAAGAATGTTTTGTTATGAAGTTTAGTTTTTAAAAATATAACAAATACCATTATGGTATGAGTCCATTTGAATGGGAAATATTTATATTAGGTAAAATGAAACTATATAAATAACATATAAAACTCAACTTATAATTTGAGTCAGAAAATACTCAATTACTGCCTTAATGTTAGGATAAAAAAAAAAAAATGGGCCACTGATAAAAAAAAAAAAAGAAAAAAAAGAATTAACAACTGCAGTTCTTTCTGCTAGCCCATGTAAGTCAATCAGAATGCAGGTGTGTTCTAAACCCTCCTGCCCCCTGGACTAAAAGTCTTTCCCATGACTCAAGCTTTCTGGGAAAAGAAAAAATATTTGAGTTAAATGAATACACCAAGAAAAATTAAAAACTATTGGATACCAATAATTTAAACAGCTTTTATTTTTCAATATTCAAAACTTTTATTATTCTTTTTTAAAATCCTCACCAAGAATATTTTTTTTTGAGGGGAGGGAATGGAATGGGAGAAAAGGAGAAGGAAGGGGAGGGAACATTGGTCAGTTGCCTCCCGTACGGGCTCTGATCAGAGATCAAACCTACAACGGAGGTATGTGCCCTGACCATGAATCGAACCCACGGCCTTTTGGTGTACATGAAAGAAAGGGAGTGAGTGCACTTACAAAGGAGCATGCTTTTCAGCATTTTTATTGACAAAATCTGCCATTAATGATCATAACCCAGTGATTCCTCCTTGTTCAATGTCCTTTACATGCCCTGGGAACAAATTTCTTCTGAACACAGAGAAAAAGATACACTCATCCTATCAATGATCTTTCTTTACAAACCAATGAGCATTATGAAGTTCACCACACTTTAGGATGATTAGAAGCTCAAGAAACTTGGTCATGCTGAAACTGGTTTGGCTCAGTGGATAGAGCGTCAGCCTGCGGACTGAAAGGTCCCAGGTTCGATTCCAGTCAAGGGCATGTACCCTGGTTGCAGGCACATCCCCAGTAGGGGATGTGCAAGAGGTAGGTGATCGATGATTCTCTCTCATCGATGTTTCTAACTCTCTATCCCTCTCTCTTCCTCTCTGTAAAAAAATCAATAAAAATATTTTTTTTAAAAAAGAAACTTGGTCACAATTTAATAAATTTTCTTTCTCTTGATTTCTGATGTATCATGCAAAATCTTTACTTCTGTCATTACATATTTAGTACTTATTTTATTTTGTTCTAAAAAATGTCATTTTATTGCTACTTTTAAGGTATATTTTAATGACTTTTGGAAACAAAGTATAACTTCGTTGAATAAATTTTTTGGGGGGGAAAAAGTCTCTTACCTGCTTGACATCTCGAACAAGATGAAATAGCATTGGATTAGTTGGACCTTGTTTCTTGAAGGAGAAAAAATTAAAGTAAACTTATTTTTCTTCTAAAATAATGTAAACAACTTCTCTTTTTATTACATATAAAACTTTTATGAACCAACTTGCACAAATTACATATATATTTTTAGTTAACTTCTGCTCATAAAATGGATCAAAAAAGAATATACCTGCCCTAACTAATTTGGCTCAGTGGATAGAGCGCCAGCCTTAGGACTCAAGTGTCCCAAGTTCAATTCCAGTCAAGGGCATGTACCTTGGTTGGAGGCACATCCCCAGTAGGTGTGCAGGAGGCAGCTGATCAATGTTTTTCTCTCTCATTGATGTTTCTAACTCTCCCTCTCTGTAAAAAAAATCAATAGAATATATTTTAAAAAAAGGATATACCCATTTCACATTACCATAGTTGCCTTAAACAAAATATATATTTTCTTATGTTTTTATTTATGTAACAATATGCAATTTTTTTTCCTAGAAGTCATGTAAGCATTGCAAGCTTCACAATTATATTGTTACATTTCTTTCATTGATAATGGAGATATACATATTCTTTATTAAAATCTCTGTACTTATTTCTGCCATTAACCATCAAATTGAATCAACACTTCAAGTATTTTGGGTAACAAACTTTTAACATTTAAATATGTCATCTTTTCCCTATTATCTTAATTCCATTGATGTATAATAGATTAAAAACTTTTCATTTTTACAGTAATCTTATTTTGATGGTATCCTATTTTGAAAAAAATACTCAGAAGCTTATCTCCTCCATCAAGACTGAGAAGAAAATGGGCCAAAAAAAGCCCTGTTTTGACCCATCTGAAATTTATTGCATTAAATTCTATACGGCACAAGCAAATATACATATTTTCAATACTGTAAATCTATTGTTTAAAAGGATAGCAAATGGGATTTTTCTCCCATTATTGTGTTATTAATTTTTTATGAGGTTACCATAGCAATTAATGCAATCTACTTTTCCATTTTGATCACATATACTTGGTAATACATTTCTGGATAAACCTATTATTTTTTTAAAACCAACATTATTTTCTTTGCTATTCTTGACTTTCAAATTCAATATATCTAAAGATGACTAAACATATATTGAATATAAACTATATTTTACCTTTGTTGTGTTATTACAATATTTAGTCTATCCACTGAAGAGCTGAGTTTTCCCTGCCCATTCTCCCCAATGTGTTAACTTTGAGGAGAAAGAGAAAGTATCTAAATTATATTTAACTGAGTTAAAAAAAAAAAATGTCTTCTAAGTTAATATGAAGTATTTTATATTTTTTAGGTATTAGAAAGTTTCACTCTATTTTCTCAGTTTATAATCACACAAAAATGCAATTTTTGAAATTCTATCTTATCTTAATGCATTATTGTTTATTCATTAAATATAAATGCTTAGTAAAAAATAAATATACTTTAACACAGCAGTTCTGAGTATGGTCCAGGAACTCCTGAGTGCTCTTTTTAGAAGGTACATGAAATCAAAAGTATTTTCAGAATCATGTTAAGATAATCACATGCATTTCTCATTCTCTTCCTCTCAGTGTTCAGTAAAATTTTCCAGAAGCCTCTTGATGGGTGATATCATAAAATTAAACTTAAAAGCAAATATAAGAATCCAGGTGCCATCCATGAAGCCAGACATTAAAGAGATTTGTGAAACCATAGAAATATGAGGAAAAATAAAGATATAATCCCTATCCAAAGGCAATTTATAATACATGGGGAAGATATAATTATATTTAACTGACTATGCCATTGAGCTTCATGAAGGCAATGGAATGGCATTTACACCACTTTCTAAACAATAAATAAAATTCCAGCAGGTGGGGAGTAGTTGAAAAAAAAAACACCAGCACTGTGTAAAGAGCAAAAAAAATTTTTTTATTATACTGGGGGGGGGGAGAGGGAATTGCAAGTGAACCATGTAGTTGAAATACTCAATATAAGGGGATGGGGCTAGAATATAAAGGTCAAATGAGAGATACCTAGAGCAAATGTTCAAAAATTAGAGAGCTTTGAAAATCAAGCTAAGGGTTTGGGTATTATTCTGTATACTAGAGGCCCAGGGCACGAATTAGTGAACAGGTGGTGTTTCTCAGCCTGGCCAGTGATCCGGGCCGATAGGAGCCGTTTCCCGGCCAGGGGGAGGGACTGTGGAAAGTTGACTGTGGGAGCACACTGACCACCAGGGGGCAGCTCATGCATTGAGCATATGCCCCTTGGTGGTCAGTGCACATCATAGTGACCAGGTATTAGGTCGACTAGTCATATTGGTCGCTTAGGCTTTTATATATATATTAGAGGCCTGGTGTATGAAATACATGCACTGGTGGGGGTGGGGAAAGGGTCAGGTCCCCTTTAGCCTGGCCTGCGCCCTCTCACAGTCTGGGACCCCTTGCTCCTTACTACCTGCCTGCTAGCTCCTTACTGCTCATCTCGCTGTTCCTTAGCACTCGCCACTATTGCTGTGCTCGCCAGCCATGAGCCCGGCTTCTAGCAAAGCAGGGCTTCCCATGGGAGCACACTGACCAGCAGGGGGCAGCTTCTACATTGAGTGTCTGTTCCCTGGTGGTCAGTGTGCATCATAGCGACTGGTCATTCTACCTTAATGGTCACTTGGGCTTTTATTGTATAGACTAGAGGCCCAATGCACAAAATTCGTGCAAGGACCTTGGCCCCTGCCACTGCGGCAGCCGCCTCTGCCTTGGCCCTCGCCACCATGGCTTAGTCCGGAAGGTTGTCTGGAAGGACATCTGGTCTAATTAGCATATTATGCCTTTATTATAATAGATGGATAGAAGAGCATCGAAGGTTTTTAAACTGAAAAAAGATATGGTAAAAATCTGTGCTTATAAGAATAATGTAAAATATTAATGTAAACAAAGACTAGAAAAGGACATTAGAACACAAAAGTGGTATAATCTGTAAATTCCAAAAGACATTAGAAATGAAAGGGAGGTGATAAACAGAAATTGATGAATAAACAAATAGCTTTGCAGAGAAGTCAAAGTTAGTAAGCTAAGATTTGGTTTTAGTTCTCAAAATACAACTAATTAAATTTATATTGGTAATAAATGGCAACCAATAAGAAGGGCAGTATTTTCCTTTTCCAATGCTAGTAACATGAAATCTGAAATGAAATGAGAAAGGCTTTGTGAAGAAAATAATTACTTTTCTGAAGCTCTGCAGAATATTAAAAAATAGTATGTAAGCTAAAAGGGCAATACCACAAGGTCAAATCATGAATGTAAACACAAAGGAGAAAAGAAAAAAAAAAGTGTGTAACTTCTCCATTAGGCAAAGTAATCTAAAGAAATTTGCTGCAACAAATGACCACCAGGAAAAATAGGTCCCCAGAAACAAGGAAAGTTTGCCACTTTCATATAACCAATCCACACTGACTACCTGTAATTTTTCCATGTAGTCTAGCAAGACATTAAAGATTTTATCAAAAGGATCGATTATGTTTAGGTAAAACAACATTTCCCAAAGATGATAAAACTTCGCTAACAAAGAATTTTAACATATACTTACAGTGTTGTAAAGTTCTTCCAGTCTGGGAATGGTAAGAAATTTATGCATGCTTACTCCATTCTCAATAAGAAGTTTTACAAATGCAACTCTATCCATTACTAGAGCATCAAGCATAGCTTGTTCCAGGGATCCAACCTAAGAGTATAAAAATTAATAAATGTTTCACACATTGTATAATAATTATAGAGTTCTAAATGCAAGTATTTAGGATTTATACCTCTTTGGTTCTGAGCAGTTTTAGAATAAAATTTAAAAAATGGAAAACAGTAAAAGGCTGGCTTAGGGTATAAAGAAAATAGATGAAAGACATCTCTAGAATAGCATTCCTGAAAGAATAGTCCATAAAAATTACTTTGTAGGAGAGCAACTGTGGCATGAGGAGGGTAGAGGGAGAAAAGAATCCATTATTAACTAAAATTGTGAAAAAATAACTTAAAGCAATGATTCTCAATATTTAGGAAAGGTTTTTAGAGAGATTATTTCAGTAATTGAAGGCCGTTACTAACATTTAATGGGTAGTCTCAATGGACTACAAACCACACAATCTGCCAGCCAATCTTGCTCACATTCCATACAACTTTCTATTATCCTGCTAGATGCTTCTGAGTGAAAACTCAGTAACACTGCTTTACATATAAACAAAAAGCACTTTTATGGTTTTTTCTACAACGAACTTTCTAAAAATACAATTACCATATAAGTTAAACAAGATTGTACTTAGTTTTTTTTAGAACTTAAACAGAAATCATTCACCATTAGAGAAAAATCTTTTAACAGCAATACAACTTGTGATTTATGAGTTGAATATAATACATGTTTATCAGTAAGCATTTATAGCTGTTTCATAAGTTTTTAGAGAGACTTTTATAGACTTTCACAAAATACTATTAAATTAGTGGAGCCTAGGTGGTGAGCTCAATGGTTGAGTGTCGACCTATGATCCAGGACGTCATGATTCCAGGTCAGGGCATATGTCCAGGTTGTGGGCTCTGCGAGCTTGATCCTCAGTATGGGGAGTGCAGAAGGCAATCGATCAATGAATCTCTCTCATCACTGATGTTTCTATCTCTCTCTCTCCTTCTCTCTTCCTCTCTAAAAATCAATAAAAATATAAGCTAAAAAAAATGAGTGGAGCCGAGACCGGTTTGGCTCAATGGAAAGGGCGTCGGCTTGGGGACTGAGGGGACCCGGGTTCGATTCCGGTCAAGGGCATGTACCTTGGTTGCGGGCATATCCCCAGTAAGGGGTGGGCAAGAGGCAGCTGATCGATGACTCTCTCTCATCGATGTTTCTAACTCTCTATCTCTCTCACTTCCTCTCTGTACAAAATCAATAAAATATTATAAAAAAAAAAAAAAAAAATGAGTGGAGCTACAACTTTAGAGATTCATTAATAAAGGTTATGTTAATAAAGGTTATGTTATTAATAAAATACCATTAACATGTTAATAATATATTACTTTAATAGCTCATATTATTGCTTCTGTATATTTTGAATATTTTTTAAAATGTTATTATTAATTTTTAGAGAGAGGAAGAAATAGAAACATTGATGAGAGAGACACATTGATCAGCTGCCTCCTGCACAGCCCCGTTGGGAATCCAGCCTGCAACATGGGCATGTGCCCTGACTGGGAATCGAATCAATGACCTCTTGGTGCATGGTACAACACTCAATCCACTGAGTCACACTGGAAAGGCCCTTTTGCATATCTGGTACCATATGATTTTAAAACTTTGTGGTGAAAAATCAATACCAAAAACAATGTGTGTGTGGGTTTTTTTTATACCTGCTGTTATTCAAGCTTATTCTGATTTTTTTCTTCAGAAGTTTGCCATATAAGTAACTACACAATTTATCTACAGCAACCTCTATTGCCATTTATTTTTCAAGTCTATTCTCTACTTACAATCATTTAGCAAAGGATATGATCTCCAAGACCTTTTTAATATACAGACTAAATGCATGCCTTATACATAATAGTATTTCAAGATGGAAGATGTTTTCCGTGTTACTTTTCACCTCTCAGTTCATGTTATAATAAGAAAACATGTTGACATTGCACTTAAAAATAAAATACAACTAATATATAAGAATGTAACATTCCTTTTCTCATATCAACAGCCCGAAATTTATCATGGCATGTTATTCCTATTTTAGTTAATATTATTTCCTTATTTCTCTTGTCACATAACAAATTCTATTTCTTATTACTTATTCTAACATTAACAACTTTTATTCTATTGCCCACTTGGTCTTTTCACTGATCTTTCCTTGTCCTGTATTTGTAAGGAATAATGTTCTGCTGCCCATGGAATTTAAGTTAACAATATTCTGAATTAGTCAGCACTCACAACTGCAGACTTTCACTGATTCTATCAATAGGTGCAAGCACCTGATTACTTAGTAAATCTTTTATAGGTTGCCATTTTAAAAAATATATTTTATTGATTTTTCACAGAAAGGAAGAGAGAGGGATAGAGAGTTAGAAACATCTATGAGAGAGAATCATCAATCAGCTGCCTCTTGCACACCCCCTACTGGGGATGTGCCCGCAAGCAAGGTACATGCCCTCAACCAGAATCGAACCCGGGACCTTTCAGTCCGCAGGCCGACGCTCTATCCACTGAGCCAAATCGGTCCCGGCAAGGTTGCCATTCTTGAGCATCTGCATTTGAAATACTATTTTTATTATACATCACTTTTATTTCTCTCTTTATTACAATTAAGATATTATATTGGTTTTTTTCTAATTGTGTATTTATAAAATTTAATTTTTAAGAAAGTAATAAAAAGGGGACATAATAAATTTTTTATTAAAAAAAAGCAGTGTTTGATCTTACTGGATTTATAACCACATGATATATACCTTAAAAATGACATCATAGGGGAGTAAAAATGTTGAACTTTAGAATGGGATCAAACTTTAAGTTAATATCAACTTAAAATGGACCATTAGAGATACAAGCTATTATATGCAAGCCTTGTGGTAACTATAGAGAAAAAAATCCTTCTTTTGTAAATAGACAAAAAGTAAATAGATAAAAGAGAAAGGAATTTACCATTAAAGTAAGTTAGCAAACCACAAAGAGAGCAAGAAAGGAATTATAAAAACCATGTAGAAAACAACTAGCAAAATGATAATATGCACATATCTATCTATCAATAATTATTTTAAATATAAATGGACTAAATGCTCTAATAAAAAGACATATCGAGTGGCTGAATGTATAAAAAAAACAACCCATTGTTGTTTATGTGTTGCATACAGGAGACCTACTTTATTTTTTTTTTCTTTCTTAAGGTAGTACATATGTGTCCTTATTCCCCCATTACCTCCTACCTCCCATTCATGCCCCCACCCCCCTGTTGTCTGTGCCCATTGATTAGGCTTATATGCATGCATATAAGTCCTTTGGTTGATCTCTCCCTCTTACCCACTCCTTCCCCTTCCTTCCCTGAGGTTTGATGTTCTGATTGATGCTTCTCTGTCTCTGGCTCTATTTTTGTTCATCAGTTTATGTTGTTCATTATATTTCACAAATGAGTGAGATCATGTGATATTTATCTTTCTCTCCCTGGCTACAGGAGACCTACTTTAGATGTAAAGAAAGATTCAGACTAAAAGTGAAGGGATGGAAAAAGAGACCACATACAAATAGAGACCACACCCCCTAAAAAAAGAGACCACACCCCCTAAAAAAAGCTGGAGTACCTACATTTACAGTAGACAAAATAGACTTTAAAACAAGACTGTAATAAGAGACAAAGAAAGGTATTACATGATTATAAATCAGTCCCTTCAACTAGAGTATATCACATATGTAAACTGATGCACCCTAAATACTAGTAGAAGCAATTAAATATATAAAGCAAATATTAATAAGCCCAAAGGGATAATCAATAATACAGTAAGAGTAGGGCACTTTATAAATTACAGCATAACATTGATTGGGGGTGTGCACTCATGCACCCAAGCATGTGCTCTGACCAGAAAACGAACAAGTGACCTCTTGGTGCATGGGATAGCACTCAATCCATTTTCGTCAATAGGGAGGTCCTCCAGACAAAAAAAATCAATAAGGAATATAGGCCTTAAGTGACACCTTAGACAGGCTGACTAAACAGAAATAGACAAAACATTCCATCCAAAAGCAACAGAATACACATTCTTCTCAAGTGCACATAGGCATTTTCAGGCCACTACATAAGTTTTAATAAATTGAAGAGGACTGTAATAATATCAAGCATCTTTTCCAACCACAATATGAAATTAGAAATTAATTACACAAAGAAAAATGGAAACTTCACAAATATATGAAGATTAAATAATATGTTACTGAATAACCAACGGGTCAAAGAGAAATAAAATAAAGTCAGAAAATATGAAAACTAATGGAAATACAAAATTTGTAGACTATAGCAAAAGCAGTTTTAAGAGAAAAGGTGAATGTAATAAATGCCTATCTCAAGCAACATGTGTATTCTTAACCTAACTTTCCACCTCAAGGAATTAGAAAAAGGAGACAAAAAAAAAAAGCCCAAAGTGAGTATAAAAAAGGGAACAAATATAAGAGCAGAATAAATAAAACTAACACCAAAACGACAATAGAGAAGATCAAAAAAAAAAAAAAAAAAAAAAAGAGAGAAGATCAATGAAAGAAGAACTGGTTCTCTGAAAAGATAAAGTTGACAAAGAAAAAAAAAATAAAATAAACTCACCAAGAGAGAGAGAGAGAGAGAGAGAGAGAGAGAGAGAGAGAGAGAGAGAGAGAGAGAGAACTCGAAGAAAATGAAAGGGGAAATAGTACAACTGATACACAGAAATAAAAAGGATCACATGAGACTACTATAAACAATTATACACCAACAAAGCGGACAACCTAAAGAAATGGATAAATTCCTAGAAACATACAACTTATCAAGACTGAATCATGATGAATAGAAAATCTGAAAAGACTTACTATTAACTAGAGGCCTCGTACACAAAATTCCTGCATGGGTGAAAGTAAGGGGACAGTGTCCCTCAGCCCAGCCTGCACCCTCTCCAATCTGGGACTCCTCAGAGAGTTGTCTGACTGCTGGTTTAAGCCCGATCCCACTGCCCTTCCCTGCGGGCCTGATCGCCCTAACTACCCTCCCCTGCCAGCCAATTTGGTTCTCATTGGTCAGTTTCTATGCCAGTCAGCATCAAAAGTTCCACCTCCTAGGCAGTCATTGGCTTCTCACAGTTCACCCAGATTTGGTTCTGGATTGGTCAGTTTCTATGCCAGTCAGCCTCTGGGCCTATCAACAGGGCCTAATCAGAAAGGCAGGGCTGATCAGTAGCCCTGGCAGAGGACTGCAGAGAAATGAAGGCACAGCTGCTGGCCAGGCCAAGATAGAAAGAGAGAGGCAAGTGCTGATCAACAGTTGCTACAAAGGCTACAGATCAGACCCTGCTTCTCTCTTCAGGCCTCTCTCTGGGCCTGATTCACAACCCCCTCAGCAATCAGTGATGGGTCACCACACCTGCAGCCACAGTAATCAGTGCTGGGTTAACTGACATTCAGTTGGTCAAGCCTCTGGTCATTGTGGATGTGACCAACACAGGGTTTCTATATATTAGAATAGTACTCAGTCAAAAACCTCCCAACAAAAAAAAGTCTAGGAACAAATGGATTCACTGATGCATTCTATTAAATATTCAAAGAATTAATACCAATCCTTCTAAAACTCTTTCAAAATATAGAGAGGAGGAAACTCTTCCAAACTAATTTTATGATAACAAAACCAGAAAGGAAGGCCACAGAAAAAGAAAATTACAGGTTGATTGCCCTGATGAACATGGATGCATACAACACTATTTTTATGACTTTTTTCAGTACTACCATGTTTTCCCGAAAACAAGACATCCTCTGAAAATTAAGACCTAGCGCATGGAAAGATAAAACATCCCCTGAAAATAAGACCTAGCGCAACTTTGGGAGAAAAAATTAATATAAGACACTGTCTTATTTTCGGGGAAACAGGGTAGGATTTTTAGAGATCTCTATGCTATAAAAAAATAAATAAATAAAAATTAAAAAAATGTTTTACCAAAGAAGTAAATAGAACTTATTAAATCCTAATTAGATTGAAATGTTAGAGAGGTATCTAGGTAATTTTGCACTTTAGTATATTTTTTATTTGAGAAGTAAAACATTGTTAGGTCACAGTTCCAACAAACACTTTGTTATTACTTATTTAATTACATTATACACATAAGATTTTTTACATACCAGCCACTGTTGTCCATAAACAAATACATGATTTTTGGCAATGTCAACTCTATCCCATGCCAATGTAAGGATGAGCTGGTCAAATGCAGATGCATTAGTGCCTAATCAAATAAAGAAAAGTTGACAGGTTCAATCAATTTATCTTCATTAAATATAAACATTTATAAATTCTTCCTACTCCCTTTTAACTAACTTACACAGCAGGTATCAGTCACTGTTCAGAAGTAGGCTGCCTCAGGGAGGTAAGATTAACCACAGGGTTGAGGACTTTTATTTTCCAACTATAGAAAAGATACCACCTTATTCATTATAAACAATTCAGAATGTAGAACAAAAAGAATATAAAGATGACACATTTCTATCAGAGATAGTACTGACTGTTAAAATTATGAAAAAATCCTTACATGTGCTTTTCTGTGCATATATAAATACATATTTACATTTTCAATTATTTATGCAAAAAGTGGATAGCACTGTATAATGTATTCAGCAGCATGCTTTGTGTGCCTTATTACCATCCTTAATTTTCTATGACTAGTGGATAATCAGGATTTTTGTGTGTGTTTTTTTTTTTTTTTTTTTTTTTTGGTAAGTATATTTGATGTTTTTGTGGACTATATTTACATAGTATGATTTTGTAGATGCCAATTTGGAAGGATATTTTTAAAGCTTTTAAATGCCAAAATGTATTCCAGAAAAGTTATAAGATCTATCAGAGGTATAAAAATATCTAGTGAAAAAACTTATTTTTAAAATTTACTTTTTAAAAATATATACTTTTACTGATTTCAGAGAGGAAGAGAGAGGGAGAGAGATAAAAACATCAATGATAAGGGAGAATCACTGATTGGCTGCCTCCTGCACAGCCCCTGCTGGGGATCAAGCCTGCAACCTAGGCATGTGCCCTTTTGTACACAGGCCAACTCTCTATCCATTGAGCCAAAACAAGTAGGACAAAATTTTACTTTGTAAAAAATTATAAGTACTGACCATCTTTCCACATTTTTCTCAAGCATTTGTATTATTCTGTTATTCTGATTAACAATATAAATTCTGGCTCATTTTTCCATGAGGTAATCATCTTTTTATTATTAATTTACACCAGCTCATTGTTATCCCTCCACATTCCTATTCATTAATTTCCTCATCTATAAAATGCGCAAAGTAATAGAAAATCTTCCCCTTTACGTTATTGTAAAGATAAAACTGAGATAAATCCTCTCAAACACTAAAGAACAGTGGCTAACACACAGAAGTATATGGCAAATATATTTTTATATTTATACAATCCCTTTTATTGATCTCTTTTTTTAATCATTTCTGGCTTTCCTATTACTATGGTCTCTTCTACCCAAGGTGATGTATATGTTATCTTACATTTTATTATAGTATTTTTAAAATGTTTCATTTATTGACAATTTATTGTTACCTAGTATTTGGGAAATTCTTGTGAATGACGAAACAATAATCCTTTCTTGCTCTGCTCCTGCAAACTCACTTACATATTTGAAATTTTAGGCAGCATGTGGGACATCATTTTAGTTTCTAATTTTATAAAGATTTTTCATTGTAATACCATTTGCTATATCAGTTGGATATTTTTGGCCAGATAATGATTAGAAAAGAGTTCAATTTGTATATGCATTAACTTCTTAATCACAGAAGTATCCTTAGTTTTCAAATTTATCTTCAGAATGAAAAAAAGCATGTTTAAGAAGACTATCTGAAATTCTATCAACTAATACTTTATTACCTTTATTTTTTAGCCCATTAAAAATGTGACACATTCTTAACAGGTTAATTAAATGGGTCTGATGGCATAAATCCTGCTATAACCTTAAAATAATTCTACAAAATAAACACTTATTGTCAAAGAAAGCTAACATGACTTTTACATAGAAAAATTACTGAAAAAATTCAGTGCCCAAACACTTTGCTAAATTAAAAAATGTTTCTTATAGAAAAGGGATATATTATGAAAGATCTTATAAATAAATAAAAATATTTAATCTTACCTTTAAGCAGTGCAGTAAGTATTGCTACATCTATATCTTGATGTTCATCTGATCCAATGTGAAAAACAGTGATCTATATAAGGATTAATTAATAATATTAGTTTTAAAAACTAAGGCATAAGACATAAAAAAAGTTATTTCAAACTACAAAGGAGATAGTTTTGGAATGTGTGTTATTTTTTGGTCGAAAATAAGAAACCCTAGAACATAAAATTAAGACTTTGTATCATTTACCAAGTAAAATGGCAAGTACATTAAAAATGTTTGATTTCATATTATATTCAGTTTTTCACCTATCTTATGTCCTTTACTGAAGTAAGCAACAAACTTAAATGGGAAAACCCTGCTGTTCCTTCTACAGAGTGAACACTTACTTAATCCATACAATTATGTGTCTTTATGAGAAATGTTTTTTTTTTAACTGGAAGTTTCTTAAAATAAATTGCAATGTAAGACGATTTGAGAGATTTTTATGTAATAACATTTTTCATAAAGAAAAACACTATTGTACAAAATTTTCAACTAACTTCATTTCCAAGTATAGAGAAAAAAATACATGGAAGAAAACAGCAAATCATCTACTACTCAGAGTTAATTAAAAATTTTCTTTATAAACAGAAGCACATGTTTAGATTACTAAAAGTAAGCAGCACTACTCTTTAATTTAATTTGAGCACTCAGAGTAAAATAGTTTAAGTTTTTTTGTTTCTAAATATATTTTAGATAGGCCATTAACAATTTCTAGTATGCGCTTCTTTATTTCTAAATAAAAATCTGTGGAGGCCTAGTTATAAAATTTTTCCTGAAATAAAAAGTGCAAATACATGCCTCAATACCATATAAAAGCTGTAATCGTTCTTCTGTATTTTTCAGCTTAAACAACTTCACATGGTTAAAAAAAGATTTAAAATCTTAAAATCTAAATGAAACAAGTTTCTCACCAATTTGCATTGTTCTTTGAATTAAAAGGCTAAAACCTACTTACAAGCTCCTTTCTTTTCATGCATTCCATCAATGTCTGAAATAAATGAACTGCTTCACTCTGGCCAAAGTTAAATGTTTTTTTGATGGTTGAAATAATATCAGGTTCTGCTGCATCAGGAAGATTCCTAGAGTAAGGGGAAGCATAACTTAATTCACAAATTTACATTTTCATTATTTCTAGAACCTAATATGAAATACAGATGGATCCATTCAAGATTTTTAAAGCTACTTTATTAAGTACTTGACCCTCGGTGAAATTTTCTCCTTGATGAGACTCCCACGATAAGTCATAAAGGGGGAAATGGAATGGAATGGTTTTTCTCTTTGAAATATTTCAAAGTTTTTTTTACAAGGTATGTATTTCTTTCTTTTAAAATACATTTTATTGATTTTTTTTTTTTACAGAGAAGAAGGGAGAGGGATAGAGAGAAACATCGATGAGAGAGAAACAACAATCAGCTGCCTCCTGCACACCTCCTACTGGGGATGTGCCCGCAACCAAGATACATGCCCTTGACCGGAATAGAACCTGGAACCTTTCAGTCAGCAGGCTGACACTCTATCCACTGAGCAAAACTGGTTTCAGCCAAGGTATGCATTTCAATATTAGTACTAATTTTCTATAAGGTAGTATATAAAGACTAGAGGTCCAGTGCAAGAAATTCGTGCACGGAAGGGTGGGTGTCCCTCAGCCCAGCTTGCACCCTTTCCAATCTGGGACCCCTCGAGGGCAGTTGGACATCCCTTTCATAATCTAGGACTGCTGGCTCCCAACTGCTCACCTGCCTGCCTTCCTGATTGCCCCTAACCACTTCTACCTGCCAGCCTCATCACCCCCTAATCACGCCCATGCCAGCCTGATTGATGTCTAACTGCTCCCCTGCCAGCCTGTTTGCTCCAACTTCTCTCCTCTGCCGGCCTGGTCACCCTAACTGCCTTCCCTTGCAGGCCTGGTCCCTCTCAACTGTCCTCCCTTGCAGGCCTGGTGCCTCCCAACTGCCCTCCACTGATGGCCATCTTGTGGTGGCCATCTTGTGTCCACATGGGAGCAGGACCATTGACCACATGGGGGCAGCCATCTTGTATGTTGCAATGATCAATCTGCATATTACTTTTTTATGAAATAGGATAGATGCCTGTGCACAGGTGGGGGCCACCTGGTTTGCCCTGAAGGGTGTTCCGGATCAGGGTGGGATTCCCTTGTGGCATGGGGTGGCCTGAGAGAGAGGCCTGTGGTGGTTTGCAGGGCAGCCATGCCGCCTGGTGATCCAAGTGGAGGCCCTGGTATCTGGAATTTATTTACCTTCTATAATTGAAACTTTGTAGCCTGGAGTGGAGCCAAGCCTCCTGCTTGCTCTGTGGCCAGCAGTCATTTCTGTTGGAGTTTATTATCCTTCTATAATTGAAACTTTATAGCCTTAAGCGGTGTGGGGAAAGTTTTGCTTCTTCCATTGCCAGGGCAACCTTCGCCTTCCACTCTTTCCAGCTCCCTGGCTGCCACCATTTCTGTTTGGATTTGTTTACCTTTTATAATTGAAACTTTGTAGCCTTGAGTGGAGGCTTAGGCCGGCAAGGGCAGGCGAAAAGCTTGGCTTCCTCTGTTGCCTGGGAAACCCAAGCCTCCCTCCTGCTCTCTGTGGCCATAGCCATCTTGGTTGAGTTTATTTGCATATTCGCTCTGAGTGGCTGGTGGGTGTAGCAGAGTGATGGCTAATTTGTGTATTACTCTTTTATTAGGTAGGATAGTTTTAAAATAATGTGGTATGTAAAGCAGTATTTCACCAAAATGTCTTAAACACAAGCTCATGCACATTTTTATTTCTTTTTCTCAATTGATATTATATTTACATGGTTCAAAAATGTATATATATATAGAAGCCTAGCCCTAACCAGTTTTGCTCTGTGGATAGAACTTCAGCCTGCAGACTCAAGGGTACCAGGTTCGATTCTGTCAAAGCATGTCCCTTGGTTGCGTGCATGTTCCCAGTGGGGGGTGCACAGGAAGGCAGCTGATTGATGTTTCTCTCTCACCAATGTTTCTAACTCTCCCTCTCCTTTCCTCTCTGAAAAAAAATCAATAAAATATATTTTTAGCATGAGTGGGAGGGTAAGGGAAGTAATGGGGGAATAAGGACACATTTGTAAAATCTTAACTAATAAAGAAATTTTAAAAATACACACACACACATTAAATATATATGTTTATATATATTAAACTTCAAAATTTCATGTTCATAACATATTGAAATAAATCTAATATTCTAAAACACATGCCTCTTTATATAGTTATTAAAAACTTGTTGTAATCATACACTTACCCTCCCTCTTCTGTTTGTTTATGAATATACGCTAGTAGATCTGCAGCTCTGCCTGTTCCCTCACATATGACAACTGGAACAGGAGGACTTTCTTGAAGGTATTCCAAAACTGTGAGGATAACATTTGGCCCACCTTCAAATATAAGTGCCACCACAGGGACACCTTGACCAATTCCTAAGAAAAGGAAAAGATTTGTTAAGATATTAGGCAAATTTAGTAATTTAATCTTCTTTTTTATTCAATCAAAAACAAAATAAAAGGCCAATATATTTCTTTCAATACAGTGTTGACTTCATTTTAAGTATTCAACATGATACTAGTTTGGCATAAATTAAATACTGAATAAGTTACTTTTTCATTTCTAATTTTGTCTATTAAACTGTTTTAATAGACAAAATTAGAAAATCCAATTGTACAATTAGACATCCCTAGAATTTATGTATTTTTTGAAAAGTAAAAATATTTTGTATATTTCACTAACTCTTGATAAGTAATGTGTAACATTAATTTGTTTTAGAGTTTGCTTCTAGTTGAATTTCTAATATATGTCTGTTTTTATTATAAAAATGTATATTTATGATTCCAAAAAATTAAGACATTAATACACACATTAATGACAGAATTAGGATTACATAAAGGGAACTGATTAATAAAATACAAGATCTCTACAAGCGTAACAAATAAATTTAGTAAAGAATATCAATTTTTGTTTTTAATAACCTGCAATGCAGCAAGAGAATTCAAAATATACGTTAATACCAGGATTAAAACATTTGTAATCTTAAAAAGAAATGCTAAGACTCCATCATAATTTGCATACAATGTTCTATAATTTTGAATTTCCCTTTGTCATAGAGCTCACCTTCTTGGTTTCCTAAAATTACACAATTTCTCCTCTTTGAAACAAAAATCTGGATGTTGGGGAAATCAAAAAGTTTGATCATGGTTGAAAAAGATCAGTATTAAGAATACCAACTTTTAAGAAACGCCTACCAAAAAGTGACACTACTCATGTTAAAAACTTTAAGCAAGGTTATTCTTACTTTGCAATAAATCATTTTTTCTTCCTTTTACTCTTCATCTTGAATTTCAAAGTCATGTATTAAACTATATCACCCATTAAGATTATTTCTGAATTCTTTGGGCTGCAATAGGATTACAATGGCAACCGAACTTCCAATGGACCTTTGTGGCTTTGACTTCAATATCTGAGTACTCTCAGATATTGGCCTTAGGCTTCTTTTCTTAGGTCACCTTATTAATCTAAGGTCAGTCATTCTTTGTTATTTCACATGCTATTTTGCTATGTAATAAAACCAGCATTTAAAAAAACATTATTTTAAGAATGTTGCTGGCATCAACAAAACAACAAGGAAGCCCACTGTATGAGAGAACATATTTGCAAATGATATCACTGATAAAGGTTTAATCTCCAATATCTACAGACAGCTTATACAAATAAATAAAAGGAAGATGAATGATCCAATTAAAAAATGGGCAATGGCCGAAACCGGTTTGGCTCAGCAGTAGAGCGTCGGTCTGCGGACTGAAAGGTCCCAGGTTCGATTCCGGTCAAGGGCATGTACCTGGGTTGCAGGCACATCCCCAGTGGGGGGTGTGCAAGAGGCAGCTGGTTGATGTTTCTCTCTCATTGACATTTCTAGCTCTCTATCTCTCTCCCTTCCTCTCTGTAAAAAATAAATAAAATATATATTTAAAAAAAAAAAAAAAAAAAAAAAAAAAAAAAAAAAAAAAATGGGCAATGGACCTAAATAGAATATTTTCAAAAGAAGACAGAAGGAAGGCTAAGAGGCACACGAAAACATGCTCAAAGCCACTAATTATCCAAGAGATGCAAATCAAAACAACAAGGCAGTACCATCTCACACCTGTCAGAATAGCCAACATCAACAAATCAACAAACGACAAGTGTTGGCGAAGTTGCGGAGAAAAAGGAACCCTTGTGCACTGCTGGTGGGAATGCAGACTGATGCAACCACTGTGGAGAACAGTATGGAGTTTCCTCAAAAATCTGAAAATGGAACTCCCATTTGACCCAGTAATCCCACTCCTAGGAATATATCCCAAGGAACTAGAAACACCAATTAGAAAGGATATATGCACCCCTATGTTCAAAGCAGCACAATCTACAATAGCTAGAATCTGGAAACAGCCTAGGTGCCCGTCAGCAGATGATTGGATCCAAAAACTATGGTACATCTACACAATGGAATACTATGCTGCCATAAAAAAGAAGGAATTCTCATCTTTTGCAGCAACCTGGATAGAACTAGAGAACATCATGCTGAGTGAAATAAGCCAGTCAATGAAAGGGAAATACCACATGACCTCACTCATTTATGGATATTAAAGAACATTATAAACTGATGAACTAAAAGAGATATAAAGACAGTAAAGCAACAAGCAGACTGTCAAATTACAGCAGGGAGGGTAGGGAGATCTGGGGGAGAAAAAAGATCAACCGAAGGACTTGTATATATGCATATAAGTACAACCAATGGACACAAAACTCTGGGGAGGAAGGAGGGGGGCAATGTTAAAATATGTACACAGGTAATAATTTAATAAAGAAATAAATAAATAAAAAATAAAGTGCAAAAAAAAAGAATGTTGCTGGCAATTAATATAGCCCAGAATAATTTCAACAACAAATTTATAATTTCAGTAACAAATTTATAAATTCCCTTACTAGCATGGATTCTTTGCTGATTAACAGTTTTTTCAAGTTCTCTTCTCAGCCTGACTTCTGCCCCATACTTTCCAACAGTGCCATCATCCACCAATATGAAATGGGAATGTAGATTATTCAGAACATTCAATTTGCTCAGAGGGTTCAATAAGGTTTGATAAGGAGCAACCACCTAAACAATATCAAATGTAAAAGTTAGTGGGAAAGATTAAATATAACATAATATAAAAATAAATTGAAGTAATCTATAGGGGGAAGATAAAATTCCATTTACCTATGGGAACAAATAGAAAGCGTAAAAAAATACATCAAAAAGCACTAGCTTTAAAAAAAAAAAAGCACTAGCTTTTAAGCAGCCAAAGATTAATCAGTAATTGGCTGAATGATACAACTAAATTTTTACTCTTATTGCAGAATATATTTCATTGTCACATGCAAAGGAAGCAGGAGCATATAAGTAAATAATTGGAAAAAAACACGATTAGTTTATATAAAGCACACTAAAAAAAGCAACCAAAAATCATATTGCTATTTTTCTGGTCATAAATAGGATCTTTAAAATTGATATTAGAAATTTAATAACATTTAAAAGTGATCATCATAAATTAGTCATTTCTTTTTTATAGTCTCTTCAGATACGTAACCAATTTATATTTTTAACCTATTCAAGGCATTTGATTACTACTCAGTAAAATAAAATTAACTCTTAATATTATGTAATCATTAAAAATTTAATTATAAAGACTGGCATGAAATGGGATAAGAGTGAAATAATTATTTTTAAAAGGCAGAAACCAAAATCTACTCACACTATAATGACAATTACTAGTACTTGTATCTATGACTGTATATTCAAAATGATCAGAAGGAAACGTTCGAGAAATATTTTTAAAAAGGTAATTTGAAAAGTATTGTATACTCAAGAATATTTTAAGTTGATTAAAAGATCCTTATTTTAAATTTGTTTATAAGTAAGTTTGAATACAAGAAATTTAAAAATCATTCTTACATCTCTCCCAACAAGATCATTTCTGTTTTCAATCACTCCCCATGGAGCTATTCCAATAGTGCAAATCTTCCGAGATGATCTGGAAGCATGTTCTTTGAGGGCATCACCAACATGTTTGGCCACACCTGTTCATACAAAATAGAATTCACTTTATCTCAAAGTCTTTATTGTGTTCAGAACAATCATGTGCTCCATCTGTAACATTACAATTGGTGATATTTTCCTTAACACATACAAAACAAAAGGCAACAAAGTCAAAAAAACAAACTTACAAAGAAAACTCAAGGACCAAAGAGAAAAAAAACTACAATTTCAAAACACTACAACTGCCTAAAACACATACCATGTTCTTACGCTTAGTTTCTCTCTTAGATTCTTCAATGTAAGTAACTATCATTTTTTGTTACTGCTCTATACACCATCTCAAAAAACTAAAAGTATGGCTTAGGACTATAAAAAACACACACCCCAAATAATAACAAAAGCTTCCTAATGGGAAAACCTGGGAGAATAGTAGAAAAGACAATTCAAAAGACCACATTAAGTCCTCATTATGATTTGTTATGAGCTTAATTGTATCCTCCCCAAAATTCCTATGTTGAAATCCTAATCCCCGTACTAAAAATATTACTGTATTTGGAAATAGGTCCCTTAGAGAGGTTATAACATCAAAATGAGGTGGTTAGGGTGGGTCCAAATCCAACCTGACAGGTGTCCTTACAGGAAAAAAGAGACACAAAAGGAGGCACCATGGACGCACATGCACAGAGGAAAGGCTACAACAGGACACAATGAAAAGGTCACCATCTGAATGCCAAGAAGAAAGGCCTCGGAAGGAACAAAACCTGCTAACATCTTGATCTTGGACCTAGAGAAATATGAGAAAATAAATTTCTTTTGTTCAAGCTACCCTAATCTTGTGGTATTTTGTTATGGCATTTGGCAATTTGGTATTTACTTTCAAAATATCATACAAGTGATTTTTGGTCTTATCAACTCTGCTTAAAACCATCCCTTCTCATTCAGAGAAGATTAAAATGGACTATAAAGCTTTCTATAAAGATCTTCCTATTGTCCCTGATATTCACCACACTACCCAATCCTCACCACCATCACACTCCCAAAACTTTTTTATCTTATCACCTAGTACTTCTTGCTCTTTCCACTCCAGCTATACTGAATGACCCCTTATTACTATTCTTCCAACACACTAGCTGTTTATTCTTTACTAGAGGCCTGGTGCACAAAATTCGTGCATGGGGGGGGAGGGGAGAGGACAGCTGTCCCTCAGCCCAGCCTGCACCCTCTCCAATCTCGGATCCCTCGAGGGATGTCCAGCTGCCCGTTTAGGCAGGATCCAGGTAGGGATAGCCAAATAACTAATATCATTGCAGTGATATTTTCAATAGCCTGTTCACCCCTAACTGCCCTCCCCTGCAGGTCTGGATCCCCCAAAACTGCCCTTTTCTATAGGCCCAGTTACCCCCAACTTCCCTCTTCTGCTGGCCTAGTCACCCCTAACTGCCCTCCTTGGCTATTGAAAATATCACTGCATGCCGAAGCCGGTTTGGCTCAGTGGTAGAGCGTCGTTCTGCGGACTGAAAGGTCCCAGGTTTGATTCCAGTCAAGAGCATGTACATTGGTTGCGGGCACATCCCCAGTAGGGGGTATGTAGGAGGCAGCTGGCCGATGTTTCTCTCTCATCGACGTTTCTAGCTCTCTCTCTCTCTCCCTTCCTCTCTGTTAAAAATCAATAAAATATATTTAAAAAAAAAAAAAAGAAGAAGAAAAAAAAGAAAAAGAAAAAAAGAAAATATCACTGCAGCTGGGACCAGTTTGGCTCAGTGGATAGAGCATCAGCCTGCGGACTGAAAGGTCCCAGGTTCGATTCCGGTCAAGGGCATGTACCTTGGTTGCGGGCACATCCCCAGTGGGGGGTGTGCAAGAGGCAGCTGGTCGATGTTTCTCTCTCATCAACGTTTCTAACTCTCTGTCCCTCTCAATTCCTCTCTGTGTAAAATCAATAAAATATGTTAAAAAAAGAAAGAAAGAAAAAAGAAAATATCACTGCAATGAACATAGTAATTTGCATATTATTCTTTATTAGATAGAAATACTGGGCTCCACATTACTCTTATCTTACTCCTTCATTTTCTTCCATCTCTACTCAAATGTCACATTATTAGTGAAGCCCTCTCCACCGTCCCCATCATCTCTACATTATATTTCATGTGTCTGCATAGCACTTACAATCTAACTTATTATACATTTGTATGAGTTCAACATAGGTTTTATTCTTTTATTTCCCTACAGTTTTAATTTGTATTTTTCTGATAACAGTTTACATCATATTATGTTGTATTAGTTTCAAGTGTATAGCATAATGATTAATCATATACTTTACAAAGTGTTCCACCTGATATTTCCAGTACCTACCTGGCACCATACATAGTTACAATATTAGTGACTGTATTTACTATGCTGTACTAGACATCCCCATTACTATTTTATAACTACCAAACTGTACTTCTCACTTCACCTTTTCACCCAGACTCATAAACCCACCTCCCCTCTGGCAATCATCAGTCTATTCCCTGTATCTGTATTGTTTCTTCGTTTATATTGTTCTTTAGATTCCCACATATAAGTGAAATCATATGTTATTGTCTTTCTCTGACTGATCTATTTGACTTTACCCTCTCGGGTCCATACATGTCCATAAATGCAAATGGTTAACATTTCATTTTTTATGGCTGAGTAATATTCCACTGTATATATGTACCATGTCTACTTTATCCACTAACCTACTGATAGGCACCTGGGTTGCTTCCATATCTTGGCTATTGAAAATATCACTGCAATGAACATAGGAATGAACATATTCTTTCGAATAAGTGTTTTGGGTTTCTTCGGATATAAACTCAGAAACAAAATTTCTGGAACATAAGGCAGTTCCATTTTTACTTTTTTGAGGTAACTCCATACTGTTTTCATAGTGGCTGTATTAATCTGCATTTCCACCAACAATGCATGGTTCCCTTTCCTCCATATCCTCACCAACACTTGTTTGTTGATGTATTGATGATAGCCATTCTGACAGGTGTGAGGTGATATCTCATTGTAGTTTTAATTTGTCTTTTTCTGATGATTAAAACCATCTTTTCATGACTATTAGCCATCTATATGTCCTCTTTGGAGAAATGTCTATTCAGGTCCTTTGCCTACTTTTAAATGAATTACTTGTTCTTTTAGTTTTGAGTTGCTCTGAGTTCTTTATAAATTTTGGGTATTGCCCAACCAGCATAGATCAGTAGTTGAGCATCGACCTATGAACCAGTAGGTTTTTTTCTGACCTGGATTGCAGGCTCAGTTTCCAGTGGGAGGCGTGCAGGAGGCAACCAATCAATGATTCTAATTATTGATGTTTCTCTTTCTCAACCTCTCCCTTCATTTCTGAAATCAATATAAATATATCTTTTTAAATAAACAAATAAATATACTTTGGATATTAACCTCTTATTGGATGTATCAGTGGTGAGTAGCTTTTCCTGTTCAGCAGTTTTTCTTTTCATTTTGTTGATGGGTTCCTTTGCCCAGCAAAAAACTTTTAGTTTGATGTAATCCCATTTATTTATTTTTTGTTTCCCTTGCCTGAGAAAAAATAATATTCAGAAAAACTAAAATATCATACATTTAGTTATCTGCATCTTCCTACCAGAATGTAATCTGCATGAAGGTAAATATTTTATTTGTTTTGTGGAATGCTATATTTTCAGCAGCCAGAAGAATACTTATTACACAATAAGTCTTTAAACCATTGTTGGTAATGAATTAGCTTTTACCAAGCTAATTTAATAATTGTTTTACTTTAGACATTAAAATAAATTGGTCTTTATTATATCTAACCCTTAGATGTGATAGGGAATGAAAAATTATAGTATTGAATATATTAAAAAATTAATTTTGAAAGCTGCTTCTTACTACTGGTTAGGCAATGGATTCCATTTTTTTTTTTATTATTGATTTTTTACAAAGAGGAAGGGATAGAGATAGAGAGTTAGAAACATCGATGAGAGAGAAACATTGATCAGCTGCCTCCTGCACACCCCCTTCTGGGGATATGCCTGCAACAAGGGACAGGAATGGAACCTGGGACCCTTCAGTCCACAGGCCAACACCCTATCCACTGAGCCAAACCAGTTAGGGCTCAAATTCTTATGCCAATTTACCAATAGTCAGATATTGGCAAGAATAACAATACTTTGCTCTATAGTAGCGGTTAGTAATCTTTTTTTGTAAAGGGCCAAATAGTAAATGTTTTAGGCTTTGCAAAATATACAGTCTCTGTCACAGCTAAACTAGCACAAAGTAGCCATAAATAACACAAAACCAAATGAGTGCAGCTATCTTCCAATAAACCTTTATTTATAAAAACAAGGAGTGAACTGGACTTGGTAGATAGACCATAATTAGCCAACCTCTGTTCTAAAATGTATTATTTAAAAAAAAAAAAAAACTAAATAAAAATCAAATATTCTTACAGTTACCATTTATATCTAGAAACTTTAACAGAAAAACTGAATATATTTATATTCAATATTGACTATTATTTCAAATATCTAATTGTTATTCTGAAAAAATTACAAACACACTAAATAAAATTAGTATAATCATCGCAGTACCTGTGTTTACTCCTCCAGTTAAAATCCAGGCTCCAGTTGTAACTGCAGCTTTAATAAGACCTTTTCCAAGCAACTGCTTGACTCGTGGGTGAAGCTCAAATTTCTGCATGCCCCCATGTACAGAGATAACAAGTTTGGGTAATTCTATTTGCCATTCTTTAAGCAGAAGTTGCAGAATGACTTCAGTTTTGGTGTCATATGATAGTCTGACATACTAAAAAAAAATTTTTAAAAAACAAAATAATTGACTATGTTCACAGATTTCATAATACGTTACACAACTTTAGAAAACTTTTATTTTAATCAGATTAGTATAAAGTAGATTTCATAGACTGCTATATTAAAAGCAAGAGCAAATGATTTTAAAATTGGAAAGCCATTTTGTACAAGCTATAGAAGTAGTGGCACTCTAATTTTTACAATTTAAGTGTGTTACAATTCCTGCTTATATAAATTCAATTACTGTTCATCCAATTTACAAATATATCCACAGTATTTATTAGCTTGTTTAACTATGAGTATACAATAAATGAGAGATATTAAGGTTAACTACAATGATGGGGGGGGGAAATGATGAAAAATGAACACTTCTACAACTCTTGTTATTAAGAAAAACAAATGCTAACTTATCTATTTGAAAGTTTTTGTCAGTGATAGAATCCATTTATAGAACTGTGATCATGCAGTAAAGTAATAAAAATATTTTTTCACTTTTTAAAAAAAATATATTTTATTGATCTTTATTTTACAGAGAGGAATAGAGAGTTAGAGACATCGATCAGCTGCCTCCTTCACACTCCCTACTGGAGATGTGCCCACAACCAAGGAACATGCTCTTGACTGGAATCAAACCTGGGACCCTTCAGTCCACAGACCAGTGCTCTATTCACTGAGCCAAACCAGTTAGGGCCAAAAATATTTTTAATATAAATTATTGTTTCCCTTGTGGAAGTAATTCTAGATTTAATCCACAAATTACTGAAAATAATAAATTTTACTCAATGTTCTAAGATGTCCAGGTGAATTTACCAGTTTAGTTTTTTAAAAAATTCATTCTATAGAAAATAAACCACCATATCCTCTGATTTAGTAGAGTTTAAAAATTATATTTCTCTTAATTATACATCACAAAATTTACTTGCTATGACTACTTTACTTCATTCTCTTTGTCTACTGCACCTATATGATTCAGCTCATAAGAAATCTGAAATATTCAGATGTTGGAAGAAAAAACACTTTTAAATATCTTTAAGAAAGGTTATTTGCAAAACAATATATTGCCCATCCATTACAAATATCAAATATCAATGAAAAAATATCCCAAAGTATCAGAATTCTTCAACACTGATTAAGATTCCAGAGTCCTGGCACAAAAAAAAAAAAAAAAAAAAAAAAAAGATCCCAGAGTCCCTGAGAATGCTTTGAAAAAGATTTGTTCTATACTAAGTGTTTCTGCATTCATTTTATTATAATTAAGACAGTATATACAATAATGTTTGGAAAACTTTATTATAATTAAGACAGTATATACAGTAGTGTTTGGAAAACAGTCTAAAGCTAATTTTTTAAAAACAGATTATGTTAAGAATAAATGAGGAATTCTACTTCTGGCAATGAACTAGATTGCTTTGGACCATCTCTGCCTCTGGAAACTAGAAAAACTAAAAGTAGGTAAGTAACATCTATTTTGAGGCATCAGAGGGCTACCAAGCAATGAGAACTTGTGGATTAAGGATCCACGAGAATAGAAAAACTTTTAGAGATGTGACCACCAATTGGCACTATTTTCCCATCAAGGGAAGGAGACAGGCAAAACAATGGAAAGAATAAAATGTTGGTAAATCTAAATGAAAAACAATTATGTCTTCGGGTTTTAAATACACAAATAAAACTCATGCCAACAAAAAGCAGGTAAGCCATAAGGAAAGTAAATGCACTTACCAAAGTTCTAAAGGATATTGCATTGTCAGAAAGTAGTAAAAGTACTAATTTATAATATAGCAGTAACAAGTTAAAAATGTATTCAAACTGTTTCTAAGAATACTGTAAGCCTGGCTGGCATGGCTCAGTGGTTAAATGTAAACCTATTAACCAGGAGGTCATGGTTTGATTCTCCGGTTGGGGCACATGTCCAGGTTGTGGGCTCCATCCCCAGAGGGGAAGTGCAGGAAGCAGCCGACCAGTGATCATTTCTCATCACTGATGTATCTATATCTCTCCCCCTTCTCCCTTCCTCTCTGAAATCAATTTAAAAACATATTTTTAAAAGAGAATATAAAAATTAAAAATATGTAAATAACATGCTAATAAAGACTATTTTTTTAAAAGAAAACCTTAAACGTAAGGAAAGGTTAATAGTAAAAGAAAAGAAAAAATTAGCTATACTGATTACTAAAAAAAGCAGGCTTAGTCAACAAACTGACAAAAAATAAAAGATATTTTATAATGATAAAAGGTTCAAGGTATAACAATTATATATTTTATGCACTTCTACAAAGAACTTAAAAATATATAAAAGAATTACTGGGACTGGTTTCCTGACATAGCATTATATAAACTGTCAGATAACAAGTATATATTATTTAAATAACAACATAAATGAAGTAAAGAAATCAAATATGTGACATACTTTAGCTCTGTAGGAATGAGAACCCCCTTGAAAATTTATGACTCCATAAGCATCTGTTGGGCTCTGTTCTGTATGCTTTTCCACAGACCATTCTTCTAATGCCTGATTAAAATGGTCACCCAATTTCACATCTGAGTATTTCATGGCAAGACTTGCAGTAAAACAAGCATGTTGCTTGACCAAGCGACCACAAAAACACCTAAAGAAAAACAATAAAATTAAAAAAACTTTAAAAAAATTAGTCAATGAAAAACTGAATTAAAATGAATGAATCAAAGAATATAAAAATAACTTGAGCTTTTGATTTTAATATAGCTAAAATAATATCTTTACTACAGCAATAAATAGTACAAATACATTAGTATATAATGATATATTCATCTAAATTTAGTGTGAGCTTCTACAAAATATAGTATCTATATACATAAAAAGCCTGTTGCCCCAACACTGTAATGACCAAAACTGGCACGGGTGGGCAGGGCAGTAAGCACAGTGAGCCATGCGATTTCGTGTGTTGGGCTTCTAATAGTTATATAATAGAAACAGTATTTAAACACAGAAAGAAATGAACCAATAATAGACACAATAATACGATGTATCTCAAAATCATCATGCTGAGTGAAAAAAAACTGGATGCCACCAAAGGGTGCATATTTATATGATACCATGTATACAAAATTCAAGAAAATACAAATTAATTTATATACCCAAGGATATGTTAACAACTGCTAGACAGCAATAGGCTACATGATTTCTAAAGTACACAAAAGACAGGCAATAGTTTATAGTGTTCCTGTCAGAAAGAATCAAGAGATCTCATAATACAGGAGGTCTATAATGTAATAGAGTCCTCAGGAGAGTATAGACTGCATATGCCCTGACAGAGTTTAAGAGCAAGACTTGAAAGAACCAAACTAACCCAAGTTACTTAACTGCTTGCTAAAGTAAGTCCAAAGCTAGAGGAATACAGCAAAACCCAGTGCCAAAACATAAAATTCACAGTGTGTAGCAACCATCAGAAATTACAAGGCAATCAAAAAAGCAGGAAAATATAAGTGAAAAAATATCAGTAATGAAGACCTAGAAATTGTACAGAGGTAATGAAATTAGCAGAAAAGGATACTAAACAGCCATTATAAATAAGTTCAATATTAAGAATATGTTTGGAAAAATTAGAGGAAAACATTAACAGGATGAGGGAGGAATTGGAAAGGTTTTATTTTTAAAACTAGATGTCCAGTGCACGAATTAATGCACCAGTGGGGTTCCTTGGCCTGGCCTGTGGGATTGGGTAGAAACCAGCTCTCCAACACCCTTCAAGGAGTCCTGAATTGTGAAGGGATGCAGACCAGGTGGAGGGATCCCACCTGTGCATTATCAGGGTTGGAGAGGGACTCAGGAGGTTGGACAGCCAGGGAGAGACCTCAGGAGGCCTCCAGGGTGTGTCTGGCCCATCTTGCTCAGTCCCTATCAACTGGACCCCAGCAGCAAGCTAACCTATCGGTCAGAGCATCTGCCCTCTGGTGGTCAGTACACATCACAGTGACTGGTTGACTGTCCCCTGGTGCTCAGTGCACGTCATCGGGAGAGGTTGAGCAGCCTTAGCAAATCATTAGCATATTACACTTTGATTGGTTGAACAAACAACCAGACAACCGGATACTTAGAATATTAGGCTTTTATTATAGAGGCTATCCCAATTAGGATAGCTAAAGAAATATCTGAAATAAAAATGTCCTAGGGTTAGATTTATAACATATTAGACACTACAAAAAACAACAACAGTAAACTTGAAGACAACAATCAAATCTACCCAAAATGAAACACTGAGAGAGAAAAAAGGAGTAAGAACATTAGTGACTTGTGGAATAATTTCAAGTAGCTCAACACACACATAAATCACCAGAATTGAGGGAATAGAAATAAAAATTTGAAAACTATTTGACTGAAAAATCTGAGCAGTTCAATAGGGAATAAGCAAAATGAGCTTGAGGAAATCACAATACAACACTGCTGAAAACCAATAATAAAAGCTTAAAAGCAGCCAGACTACAAGTGTCACATTATGTATAGAAAAACAAAGAATGACAGTAGGTATCTTATTACAAAACATACAAGCCGAAAACTTACTGTTACATCTTTAAAAGGAAAACAACTATCAAATTAGAATCCTAGGAATAAATTCAACCAAGGAGATAAAACACCTGTACTCAGAAAATAAGACACTGAGGAAAATAATCAAAGAAGATACTACTAAAAGAATATAGCATAATCACAGGTAAGAAGAACTAATATCATTAAAAAGTCCTCACAAACCAAAACAATCTATAGTTTCAATGCAATTTCTATGAAAATACCAATAACATGATTCACAGAAGTAAAACAAATAATGCAAAAATGTACAGGGAACCATAAAAAGACCCTCAAAAGCCACAGCAATCTTGAGGAAAAAAACAAAGTTGGAATTATCAGGCCACCTGATATTAAACTATACTATAAGGCTTAGTATTCAAAACAGCATGATACTGGCATAAGAAGACATAAATTAATAGGACAGCATAGGAAGCCCAGAAATAAACCCACACCTATTTGGTCAATTAATATTTGACAAAGAAGAAAAGAACATACAATGGGGTAAAGACAGTCCTTGCAATAAATGGTATTGGTTAGGTAGTTTAAATGCCATCCTTCTCGGAAATAGGTATTTGTGGTAGGTGGAACTTTTTGCTTAAAATTCTGAAATTATAAAATCAACATCAAATTAGCAGAAAAAATAAATCAGTTACTAGTATTAAACATTAAAAACATGCCACCATCTACATAACTCTGTATTTTTATATCTATGATAAATTATACAAAAATTCCCAGGTTAACATTTTCAAAGAAAATATCTGTACATATTTTCTTTCTCAAAAAATTTAATATTGTTAGTTTTCTCAAATTAATTATTGTGTGCACACAATGAAAGGTATTTACTATGCATGTGATATTCTATTACTTACAAGTAAGTATGTTATAGCAAATAAATAAAGATCAAAATGTAACAGAGAAATATAAAAATTACCCTCTCTACAAGTGGCTTAATAATGGCTTATTAAAATTGTGATATTATCAAACTATTATTACCTAAAAAAATAAAAAAGTGGTGTTAAGAAAATTGGAAAGATACATGCAAAGAATCAAGTGGAAATTCTAGAATTAAAAATATAATGCATGCCGAAACCGGTTTGGCTCAGCGGTGGAGCGTCAGTCTGCGGATTCCAGTCAAGGGCATGTACATTGGTTGCGGGCACATCCCCAGTAGGGGGTGTGCAAGAGGCAGCTGGTCAATGTTTCTCTCTCATTGACGTTTCTAGCTCTCTCTCTTCCTTCCTCTCTGTAAGAAAAATCAATAAAACATATTTTATATATATATATATATATATATATATATATATATACACACACACACACACACACACACACACACACACACACCCACACACACACACACACACACACACACACACACATATATATTGCATGAAAAAAATTTTTTAAATAATCCATGAAATAAAAAGTTCACTGGATGGGCAAAACATTTTGAAAATTGCAGATATGAGATTTAGTGAACCTAAATACAGATCAGTATACACTGAGTGACCAGAATATTATGATCTCTGAACACATAATAATCTGGCCACTCAGTGTGTGTGTGTGTGTGTGTGTGTGTGTGTGTATGTGTATGTGGTCTGGTACTTAATTCATACATGATGAGATCCATGCTGGTTGAACTCCTGGTCAAGGGAATAATTTGCATATTAGCCTTTTATTATATAGAATATACACTGAGTGGCAAGATTATTATGTGTTCAGAGACAATAATAATCTGGCCACTCTGTAAATTTAATAAATGTAAAAATTCTTATTTTAAAATATGGCACCAGTGACCTGTGGAAAATATTAAGCAATCTAACATTGATATTGCTATAGTCCCATAAGGAAAAGAGAAAACAGACTGAGGCAGGAAAATAACTTAAGAAACAACAGCTGAAAACTTGTCAATTTGGTGGAAAATAACTTGCAAGTATTGACACAAGCAAAGTAAGTACAAAAAACCACTTTCAGGCACCACCTGACTCTGAAAACCAAAAATACAGAAGAAAAACACACACAACACTTTAAAGCAGCTGAAGGGAAAAAAAGACCCATTACATACAGAAAAACAGCTATATTAATGATAGCTAACTTTTCACCACTAACAAGAGCTAGAATACAGTAAAATACCTGTAAAATGCCAGAATAAGAGAACTACCAACTCAGAATTCAATATCTAGTGAAAATGTCCTTTAAGTCTGAGAGTAAAATAAACATTTTCTGATAAACCAAGCTGAGAAAATTCATCTCCAGTATATCTGCTTTATACCAAAGGCTAAAGGAAGTTCTTTAGCAGGAATGGAAAAACACCAGATAGAATTTCCAATCTAGAGGAACAAATGAATATCAAGACCAGAGATGGTAAATCTCAGTATTTCTAAAATGAACTCATTCTATGCACATTTGTTCCTAACATACCAACCACAAACCTATTTGTCTTCCTCTTATAGTCTTTCATCAGATCTTAATGAGCATACTATTTACTTAGTTGCAAAGTAAGAAATTTAGAAACCATCTCAAATCCTCCTTTCTCCACACATCACTAAATCATATTGAGTTTGTCTCGTTTATCCTTTCAAATGTCTATTTCTCTTAATCATCATAGCTACTACCTTAAGTCAGCCTTTATTTCAGAGTTGCCAGAATTACTCCAAAGCTTTCCAAACTATTTTTTTCTCCCAACTCAATCTCTATTGCATTAGAAAAAAAAAAAAAAAAAAAAAGAACAAAAAGAGAAAAATAAGCCTGTTATTTCCCCATACAATTTGTTGTTATCATGAAATCAAAATCATGTGGCATACACACAAAGAGCTTAAATGACTTGGCCCCTACTCACTTTTCCAGACTCAGATCTCTCCAACATTCAACTTACATTCTTAAGTTTTATGACAGAACCATAATCTCTTCCATTGTCAAGTTTTCCCACATCCTGTTCTCTCTGTCAAAATCACTTTCCATCTGTCTTTACACAACTAATTCACATTTAACTTTAGGACTCTGCTCAGGTAGCTTCACTTGAGTTTCAAGCAACCTTACCTTGTCCCTCACCTCCCAGGTCTGAGAAAAGGAACTCTCAAATATATAGCCTATAAGTTTTATCCCACTGTATTCTGAAGTTTCTAATAGATTGGTTTTATTTTTTAAAATGTGTGCAAGAGTTATGTTATGAAACTTACCTGACAAGTTGCTGACAAATTTGACATCCTGGAAGGCATCTATAAAGAAGGTAAATTTTTTACTTAAAGGGGAAAATTTTTTTATAGTTTAAACTAACCTATATAAAATCTATATAAAAGTATAAAATGAAGGAAAATTATACAGTTTCTGTTTCAGTTGAAATCATAGGTCATTTTTACACTTTATTTACACATTCAAGTAACTACTTTTTTAAACTCACATGTTTTTATATTTTTAAATACAAGTAGGTATAACATAAAATCCAGAAACTATAGGAGAAAAAACTGATAGATTTAATTATGTAAAAATACAACATTTCTACATGACAAAAATGTGCCACTAATAGTTTGAAAACAAACTGAGAAAAGTATTTGCAGAACAAAAGGTTGGTTTCCCTAATACACAGAGCTTCATCAAATTATTTTAAAAAAGAACATATATGAACATATAATTCACACTAAAAACATATATATGAAAAGACATTTGATTAGAAAAAGTATTTTTAAAAACCTTTATAGTAGTCATATCTCTTGGGGAAGGGTGTATAAATTGATATAATCTCTATTGAAAGGCAAGTTGGCAGAACTGATCAAAATAAAAAATCTAGCCCTAACCGATTTGTAAAAAAAAAATCAATAAAATATATATTTAATAAATAAATAAATAAAATAAAAATGTAGACTCATTCTCAAAATCTAATTCCAGTACTAAAAGTATAGGCTAAAAAATATCTGTAACACATGTAAGATGATTAATGGACAAGGTTTATTCACCACAGCTTTTTTCGCCTCACAGCAAAAAGAAAAACAGAGCAGCTAGTGTCCATCAATTTAGGACTACTAAAACAAATTATGATACAGACATATAATTTAAAAAGATGGAACCATTAAGAACAAAGTGGTTATCATCAAGATAAAAACAATGAACTAAACAGTATATATTTAGAGTAGAGAGGGAGGAGTAGAGACATCTATGTGGACATGCAAATACGGTATCTATTTCTGGAAGGTATTCCAAGAAATAGGCAATGATGGTTCCTTAAGGAAGGGGAATTTAAAAGGAGGCTTTCACTAATAACTTTTTTACTTTGTAAATCCATTTGTTAACCTATTCATATAAAATTAATTTTAAGCCTGACCAGCATGGTTCAGTGGTTGAGCATCGACCTACGAATGAGGAGGTCACGGTCCAATCCCGGTCAGGTACCTGCCCAGGTGGTGAGCTCCATCCCCAGTGTGGGGTATGTAAAAGGCAGCCTATCAATGATTCTCTCTCATCACTGATGTTTCTCTCCTTCCCTCTCCTTTCCTGTCTGAAATCAACAAAAATATATATTAAAAATTTTAATTTTAGCTGAAACCAGTTTGGCTCAGTGGATAGAGCGTCGGCTTGCGGACTAAAGGGTCCCAGGTTCGATTCCGGTCAAGGGCATGTACCGTGGATGCAGGCACATCCCCAGTAAGGAGTGTGCAAGAGGCAGCTGATGGATGTTTCTCTCTCATTGATGTTTCTAACTCTGTATCCCTCTCCCTTCTTCTATAAAAAAAAAAAAAATCAATATTTTAAAATTCAATTTTAAAATCAATTAGTATAAAAAGAAATAACCAGCTGTGTTTACAAATTATGTCTCTTGTCAACAGCTACAGCTCAGGATACTTACTTAATAACAGCTTGAGATTCCTTTAACATTGAATGAGTACTTTTTTTATTCTGATTGCAAAATGAAATTAACAACATTATAGGAAATAAATTCATTAAGGATAATACAATCTATTTTTTAAATAAAGCAATATTAACTTTATCTCAATGAACAATAGTGTTTTATTTTAGAACTGGCATACTGAACTATGGATATCTTAATTCTAAACCCCATCTCTATGAATTGTTATGGCTTTTAATATGTAAATTAGCAATACAATTTACATCTAAATTCCTAGAAGAAACAAAAGTATTCTTACCTGTGAGGGTCTTTGGAACTTGGTATAATGTATACACATTCCCTCTTGGTCAAAGTACTTTCTATCCAGGATTTCTGGGACTGAAACAAAAAGTTTTAAAATATGCTTTATACATTAACCCACTAATATTATAAGAAAATAATTTAATTATAAATATATGAAAAGAAATAGTTCTATACTATTTAATTGCTTTTCAGTTTGCTAAATATTTATTACAAACTACATGCTTCCTGATGACAGCACACCTAAAATATTAGAATCATCCCATTTAAGTCCAGTGTGATTTACATTATTATATCTACAGTGTATGCAGATACTGTTACTTCAAATAAACAGAAAGGAGGGAAATTAAGTTTTAGATTCCTACTATGAGCCAAAAACTTCAAGAGGGGCTGATGTAATCATTGAAAAGGCAATTAACAGTGATTATCAGATTAACTAAAAAAAATAAGACCTTTCGGTGGCTCTTTCTAGAGGATGCCCACCCTTTCTTTCCTCTTAGTCGTGCATCTTTACTTTTTTCCTCCTAAATTCTAAGAGTCCTCAGAAGGCTTGCAACTAGGGGAGCATTAGGCAGTGGTAACTCATCCTGGACTTACCCTAAAACCTGTCCCCAAGGTTCCATTCACTCTGACTTTTAAGTGTGCTAACAGCAGCCCCACTATGGCTTACTTCTTTAACAGTTATAGGGAGCCAAAGCAGAGCATGCCTAGGTTCTCTCCTGTTGCTTCTTCTATCCTAAGCTCGCCCTTTGTTTCACTGTCCCAGCTTTAATAAACATACTCTCAAATAAAAAAAATCCTACATAATCCTCTATAATAAGAGTAATATGCAAATTGACCATCACTCCGACACACAAGATGACCACCCCCATGTGTTCAAAGATGGCCACCACAGGAAGGCCAGCAGGGGAGGGCAGTTGGGAAGGACAAGGCCTGCAAGGGAGGGCAGTTGTGGGTGATCAAGCCTGAAGGGGAGAACAGTTGGGGGGCGGGACCAGGCCTACAGGGGAGAATAGTTGGGGGGACCAGGCCTGCAGGGGAGAACAGTTGGGGGGACCAGGCCTGCAGGGAAGGGCAGTTAGGGGCAACCAGGTTGGCAAGCGAGGACAGTAAGGGGTGACCAGGCTGGCAGGCAGCTGGGAGCCAACAGTCCTAGATTGTGAGAGAGATCTCCCAGATTGGAGAGGGTGCAGATTGGGCTGAGGAACACACACACACACACACACACACACACACACACTGTGCACGAATTTCATACACCAAGCCTCTAGTTATAAATACAAAATTGTTTCATACTTAAAGGACAATTAAAATTTAATGTTTTATACCACTACTTAGACTTTTGCCTGAATCCTTACACTGTGTAGCCTGCTATGGGTAAATGATTAAAAAGGAATGAGACATATACTGAGATAGGCAAAACTCCATAAATTAGGATAAAGATCTTGGGTTCCATCCTATATACATTCAGATGTAGACATATACAGTATTATATCTCACCAGAACAGTACAAAAAAGAAAAGCCAAAAGGATACATCTATAAGAGATATTCTGGACAAAATTATTATGGGTGAAGTTTTGTGAGCTCCTTTAAAATCATTCAGGTAGAATTAGATCCAAGATGGCTGAACAGGTAAACACCTAGCTGCAGCCACATACAACAATTTCAATAAAATACAACTAAAATATAAAATGGACGTTACCCAGAACTACAGGAAAGTCGACTGACTGGAAATTCTACAATGAGAAGCAAGGAAAAAACCAGAAGGAAGAGCTGTAAAAGCCTAAGGTACGGAGACACAAGGCGCGCAGAGAGGACTGAGCCCGAGAGTAAGGGCGGGGCAGCTGAGTGCCTGGCTGGCGTTCCCTAGCAGAAAGGAGATAAAACTCCGACTGTGTTGGGCCCCAGTTCCGACTGCTCTGAACCCCAGTACTAGGCCAGACCTCGGGGACCCAGGCTCATCCATAGGGAGCTGGGCTGTAAGGCGGAACCCAGGAGGAGCGGCAAAAGGAGGTCCTGGAGGGGCGCACATTGCACGCAGAGAAGGTATGGTTGGATTGCCCTGGCGGGAAGGAGACAGGGCTCCAGACTGCTCTGAACGCCACCTCCAATTCCACTTCCAACTGAACTGATCCCCAGTTCCGAGCTCATTGGGGCAGAGCCTAGACTGTTTGGTAGCAGGCGAAAATCGAGGGCACCTTTTTCCCAGAGGCACTTGCAGCAAGTATTGAAGGACCCTGAGACACAGGAGCTGCATAGGGCGGGGCTGACGGAAGCCAAGGCTGTAGGCTCCACCCTGAAACACCCCCCCCCCCCCCCCCGCTCCATCAGGGAAACTGCGAAAATGCCCAGATGAAATAGATCACAAACGAAAGAAATGGAGGACAAAAAGCGACTGTATATAGAGTTCAAATCTACGCTTATAAGGTTTTTCAAGAATTTCCTAGAAAAGATCGATAAGACCTATGAGGATATGAAAAGGGATCAACTAGAATAAGGAATCAACAATAAGGGATTAACGAGAAATAAAGAATACATTGTCTGAAATAAATAATATTATGCAGAGTCCTAAAAACAGAATGGAAGATCGCAAGAATCAAGTCAAAGATTTGGAACATATAGAGCCAGAAGACACTCCTCTGCAGAAGTAGGCAAGAGAATCCAGAAAATTGAAGATAACTTCAAGCGAACCAACATCAGAATTATGGGGGTCCCAGAAGATGAGGGAGAGCAAGATAACGAAAACACACTGAAAGAGACAGAAAACTTCCCCCACCTGGTGAAAGAATTAGACTTACAAGTCCAGGAAGCGTACAGAACTCCAAACAAAAGGAATCCAAAGAGGACCACACCAAGACAAATCATAATTAAAATTCCAAGAGCAAAAGACAAAGAGAGAATATTAAAAGCAGCAAGAGCAAAGAAGGTAGTTACCTATAAAGGAGCACCTATATAATTGTCAGCTGATTTCTCAACAGAAACCATGCAGGCCAGATAGGAATGGCAAGAAATATTCAAGGTGACGAATAGTAAGAACCTACAGCCAAAGATAATCTATCCAGCAAAGCTATCACTCAGAATCGAAGGCCAGCTAAAGAGCTTCACTAATAAAAAACAGCTAAAGGAGTTCATCACCACCAAACCAGAATTATATGAATTGCTGAAGGGGGTTCTTTCAGAAGAGAAAGTAAATAAAGATAAAAATTATGAACAACAAATACGTAACTATCAACAAGTGAATCTAAAAACCAAAGAAATTTAAAAAAATCTGATGAACAATATTAATTGTTGAATATAATAGAATCAGAGGTATGGAAGGGGAGTGAACTGACGATTCTTGGGAAAAAGGGGAGAGGGGGATGTGGGAAGAGACTGAACATAAACTGTGCACTTATAGATGAGGACAATGGGGGTGGGGAAAGGGCAGAGGGTGGGGTGGGAACCTGGTGGAGGAGAGCAATGGAAAGGGGGGGGGGTGAACATTTGTAATAATATGAACAATAAAAATTTATTTAAAAAATAATAAAAAAGAAAATAAAAGAAAATCATTCAGGTAATGTAATGATAAACATTAGTTTATCTCCCAAATTCTCCAATTCTAGCTCCAAACTTCCACCTGTCACTTAAAAATGTTAATTTCCTAAGTCAATGGTTCCACTTTAAATAGAATCACTTCACATTTACTAAGAAAAATTGAACAAGAAAAAAATGTCTACAAACTTCTATCACATCTACCCACCAATGAGTATCTATACCCCATATTCTAGCTTTTTTCCTATAACTGTGCTCCTATTTAACTACAACAGATCCGTATGTGCTCTAGATCCCCTACCACTCACTAACTAAAGGACACGCTCTACCAATTCTTCCTTAATTTTTTTCCTTCTTTATTAATTCATTCCCATCAACATGAAATACACTGTTCTCCACATTTAAAAAACAAAACACAAACTTTTGCTTGACTACACTTCCCTCTCAAGCTAATACTCCATGTTTCTGCCCCCATCTATAGCAAATTTCATTAGGAAAAGATTTTCTCTCTTTCCTTCTCCCACATTTTCTAAAACCCATTCCAGTCAAGTTCAAGCCAATGACTTCCTCTAAACCGAGGAGTCCACTTTCAGGACTCATCTTTATTAATATATCACCAGCATTTAACAGAAGTTGATCATTCTCATCTCTTTCTGAGACATCTTCATCAGATAGTTTTATTTTATTCCTTTCACTGGCCATTCCTTTGTTTCTCCTTGCTTATTCCTCTTCTCCCCAATATTTGGATTTCTTTTTTCCAATTATATTCACTCTTTTATTACTCACATCTAGTTTACAATCAATATATTGATTGACTTATAATTTATACTTCCATGCCAGATCCTTTCCTCAACTCCATACTCATATATCCACTGTCAATTCAACAGCTTTATTTTGAGTCCAATAGGCATCTCAAAGTTAACATGGCCAAAACTGAACTCCTCTTTCACCCTCATTTCTCATTCAGTCTTCCACACCTCAATGAATGGACAGTTCTATTTTTATATTTATAAAAATCTTAGTGACATCCTTGATATTTTCTTCATATATATATATATATATATATATATTCTCATGAGCAAAACCTGTGAGCTTCAAACCATACTTAGAATCAACACTTTTTCATCCTCCACTGCTACCATTCTGATCCAAGCCATCATCATCTGTCTAACTTGGTGCCCTGGCCAGTGTGGCTCAACTGGTTGGGCATCACCCCTTATTCGGAGTAGTTGGTTCCATTCCTGGTCAGGACAAATGCCTAGGTTATGGGCTCCATTCCCTGTAGGGGATGTGCAAGAAGACAGTCAAACTACCGTTTCCCTCTCACATAATTGTTTCTCCCTCCCTCTCCCTTCCTCACTTTCTAAAAATCAATAAGTATATTTTTAAAAATAAATAAAACTGGACTCATCATTATAAAACTAAATAAATTTATAAAAGCCATCAAATTTTGTATACTTACAAACAAAGGGCAAATTTTACAGTATATGTATGATTTTACAATAAATATGTTTAAAAGGAAGGGGAGGATTGACAGGCATGTAAA